CTTTTTTGACATTTTCGTCGAAATTTATTTATCAAAACCAAAAAAAAGAGGTAAAAATCAACAAATAAAAATGAAATTACACGACTGGAATGAAAACGCGTCAAACAACAAGAAATGTAAACATGAAAATGGCGTCAAATATGGAGAACATGACAGTTCTTAATGACAAACCGAAACTGAAACAAGTCAAAAGTACTTGTTTCAGTTTCGGTTGCTAATGTACTGGATTCGGTTTTCGAAAATGAGGAACCGAAAATAGAAAGATTCGGTTTCGGTTTCGGTTATAGCTGAATTTCGGTTGCTAATGTACTGAATTTCGTTTCAGTTTCAGTTTCAGCTACATGCGACAACCAGCCTTAATTGTTCGAAATATTTTGCCCATCGTGTGTGCATTCATAAGCATATTTTGTTCTTCTGACGGGTGGGTGTGTTTACACGCTCATGCAATCCCTCGCGTTTTTTCTGTGTGTTTTTTTTTATTAGCTTGAAGCCGATGTAACATGTTTGAAATCGATACACGTAATTGTCTTATAGTTGACGATGGTTTTAGTATATTTCATAATTCATCTGCATGCCCATAAAAATATCAAAAACATTCAATTGTAATTCAATATATGTGATTCTTTGGCTGAATTTCGGACAGAAAACAGAACAAATGTATTGCTGCGAGGCAAAACGTGTATGTAATATGCCGGCAAGTTCACGAAACCATCGAACGACAACATTCTATATCGAAACATTATGGAATTTATCACGCATGAAAAGGCCATTTTACGAACAATCACACAATAGAATTATGTATATTTCATAACGCAAAAAAAAATCGTGTCTAGAAAAAACAAAACAGAATGTACATTTGGTTCCACTGAATAAAAGATGAATTTAAAAATGCATACACACTTGAATGATAATGCATGAATTTAAAGAACGTTACGACATCAGCGAGTGACAGACAGAGATGACGAGAAGAAAAAAAACGCCAAAGAAACAGAGGTGTTGTTATTCATGCTTTAATATTAAGGAGTGGTAAATCTATTGAAATCGCACCAATGCTACACGGTATGCGCCCCCAAAAGGAACAATATGCGTACAATAATCATAATTTGTGTTCTGGATTCATTTGCTCGCGTCATTTAAATAATAACCGGAGTACGACGATTAAATCAGTTAACAATGTTTTCTCCCCCTTAGTCATTGTTTACGTGCCGTCAAACGCTCCAATTATTTTTTATGTTTTATTGTTTTTCCTAATGAAATTTTTTGTTTTCTCTATTTTTCCACAGATTTATGATTAAAATCAACTACTTCCGATGAACAATACCACTGCCAGAACGGAGTGAAACTTCCCGTCGATTTACGTGCATTGACGCCAATTTTGGTTTAAAAAAAAAAGTAAATTCGTGCGGTCAATTAGGTTCGAGCATTGAATTGTGTAGATTGTTGGCCAAAAAGGATTTACGGCCATTGAATATTTGTTGATTTGTGGCATTTCTTATTATAGTATATTGTAGAGCAATGAATCGTGACTCAACACGAAAGTTAAGTGACAGTGACTTCTGGCAAATATGCCACGAAATGCATCCGAGTACAAATTATACATTTCCTGTGGCTCCGATGCTGGGTGTGGCAAACAATGATAATTTCATGTCGAATGATCTCGAAAATTTAAATCGAAGACTCGATTTTGAGTCGCACGAAACAAGCGAAGACGTATCAAGCGATGATTCGCTGCAAAATCTTTATGTAAAAAAGCAGCGAGCTCATCGAAATTTATTGAATGCTCATTCGAATTGTGTGAATACACAAAAAATTCTCGATACAATCGATTTATTTTCGGATGAAGACAACGATAATGAGTGTCTAGAAAATGGTAAATGTAATGAAAACAACGATAGACATGAATTTAAACTCGATCGATTCGAAAGCAGTGACATTGATGCAATTCAAAATGCCGATGATTTACTACTAAAGATTGCTGACAGTGTACAACATTTGAAAACGAATGTCAATCAATTGAATGATAAATGTCAAACAAGCTCGATGGATGCGTATGCAGCATCAACAACAGCAATTGGCGATTTGATTGACTTTAGTGACGATTGGACTAACGGTGAAAGCAAAGATGAAAATTGTTGTACAAGTGACAAACCCATAAAGAAAGTTACGCATTCATGCGATCAAGGTAAACATTTTTGCGTTGTTGCAATTTCCATTTAAATACATATATTTATATATCACAAACATATTTGTACCGTTTTAAATGTTCGCATCATTTTCGCTTTTTGTTTTGGAATGTGAAATGTAATTGTTTTCAAAATTGTATACAAATGAACAAAAGATGTAGGTCGCGATGTTGAATGCACTTTAGCCATGCAACAACAATAGAAAATATACTTAACAATCAAATTAAATTTAAACCTGAAATGAGAAGCAAAAAAATAAAATTAACATGTAGATAAAAAAGATATGACAATATGCATTTGAAATTCCCATCTGTTATGGCACTCATTTTATTTATGTCTCTTTCTCTCTGCATACGTCAGGATCGCTAAATGATAGTGTGGGCAATGAAGGGCTTCCATATGTCAAAATCGAGCAGCGAAAAAATTTATTAAACAATAACACAGGAAGAGCTGCTCTTTCAAACGAAATAGAATACGATGGAAAAATGGAAGCGAATAACCATAGAAATGGCATACAGGTGAATTATTGCAATGAATGGCATACTGAAAACGGTAATGATTATCCGTCACCAACAACAAGCGAAAGCAGCAATAACAGCAGTAGCAGCAGTTGCAGTTATACGGATAGTTTGAGCAATAGCAGTGGAAGCACTACCAGTGACAACAAAAATATTGAGACCAAGATAGAGGCCAACGATGGCCATACGTGCACGAACAGCAACAGTCACAAACTGAATACCGAACACAATAGACGGTCGTACGAATTCGAGCAGTGCGCACATCAAACGCAACCAAACAGCAAAATAACAACAACAACATTTAACGTCAATGACAAATGCCAAATACATCCCGTTGGATGTCAGTTGAATTGTACTGCTATCACTGCTGGTACGATTTCTTGTGCAAAAATCAACATTGAAGCCAACAACAAGATAGAAGACAGTTCAAACGGCGCATGTGCTGTACATACATTCGTCACCTTCACCCACACGATACGAGACAATAACGAAGTGGATTCATCGATCGAGCCGAAATCGCAACAATTTGGGGTTGAAAAGGCTTCACAGGACGTGCTTACAACGTTGTCATCGGCTCAACAACAACATACATCAAATACCAATGACAGTAAGACGATTCGCATTGGATGTGCAAATGTAGTGGAGCAGCCAAAACCGTCTGCCATCTCATCGTTATTCATCGAATCATTACCAGTGGATACCAGCACATCGGCAGACAGTGTTAGTTTACAAGCTGAATGGGATGCTGATAAAAACAACAATCCTTTGCAATACAAGGACAAACGAACAAAAGCTCTTCCACATTCGATAAATTCAAAAGTTATACACGAATCGCCAATAAATTCCAGACATTTTCCAATTGCACATAATTCAAATATCGTAAATAAAATTGTATGTGAAAAATTTGTGCCAATTTTATGTGAACACATCGAACAAAAACCAAATAAAATCGAGAAAAATTTAAGCTCAGCCAGTGCTGCGTCGACACCATTTGATGATGCAGACAACCAAGATAAAATTCAACCAATCGCTGCCAGTGTAAATACAAAAATATGTTTGCGAACAAAATCGACTAAATGTAAATTAAAATATCGAAGAAACGTGTATGAGTGTCGATGTAAATCAAATTCGAACATTTCTTTAGAAAAAACTAATAAATTCAATCAAAAGTGTAACAAACGACGAGGTGGCAACGAACACAAGTGTCGAAAACAGTCGAAAAATTGTTCAACAAAACGTCGCAAGAAAAACGACAAACGAAAAAATCGAATTGGCAAACAGGTACGATGTAATTGCAAGTGGAAATGCTGTCGTGGCCATTTATGTGATTATGATTTATGTGAAACGTATCTAGGGACGTCGAAGTGTGGTCAAACCAAATCTAATAACAAACCATTCGCCAATGTACTGTCGATTGCAAAAAAAGGTGAATCAAGTTGTGGCAATGTTGCAACAAATAATAATAGTGAAAATTTTGTAAGAAAATCTGAAAAAATCGAAACAACTGTGTCTGGTGGTCGATCCGCAGATGGTAAAATCAGTCTGTCTCAATCGAAACGCCGTAGTGGTAGTTGCAATGAGAGTACGTGCGATACAGTGACTGTAGCATTACCATATTCATCGACATCGTCAACGACGACAAGTACCGTGTACGATGCAACAGCAATAGAAACCGTTTCATCGACGTTAGCTTGTGATACGGACCAAAGTTTAAAAGCTATAAATAAAACGTTGTGCATTGACAGTGCGAACAACATCAATGACGACAGCGACGACGACGACGACAAAGACTGTAATCGCTTAATTACAACAACTGTAAGTGAGCTCAGTGCAAGTGATGTGCTAGTTGATGATGCAGATGAATTCACGAAAACTCTTGAAATATCGCCGCCCATTGAAAAGATAAAGCAAGTGCTCAATGCAGTAAAACAGTGTAGCGATACAGATCTTAGTGTTGTTAATTGTAATGGTAATAATTACTGTGCTGAAAATGCGTCAAAGCCAACAAAGTGTAACCACATTTGTAGCGCAGAAAATCTAACACTCAATGTAAATTCGTTGAAAAATTCACTAAAATTAAGCGAAAGCTGCGATTCTGTATTCTCCGATTCGATATTTACATTGAAGCGTTCTGCATCGACGTCATCATCGTTGTCGCTCTTATCGTTAAACAGTGGTGAACCGTTTGAAGCGAGCAATCGCTTGCGACGTCTAGAAGAACGTTTCAAAGACTTTTCCATCACCTCGTCAAATAAAAAAGGTAGGTGTGTGAACAACAATAATTTATCGCCGTCGTCTACAATCGCATCGCAGCAACAGCAACAACGTTCGAATCAAATTCAGCCAAATTACGATAGCAAAGGTCATTCAGACGCTAGCACAGAACAACAACAACAGCAAATTGTCGATGCGTTAACATCCATTGTATCGAGTCCAAGTAAGTCAGTCATTGATAAAACATTCGGTGAACCAAAGAGTTCACATCTGAATGATGGTGTCGTTAGCAATGAAAATGAGAGTAATCTAAAATACAGTGACGGCAATAATAATCACATTAAATTAAAAAGTAATCCCAACGAAAAACTCATCGAAACGGAAACTAAACATATTTGTTGTGCGCACACCATTCGAAAACGTAAACAAATTGACAAACACACTGAAAGTAATAAGAAACAGCACATACATATTAATTGTGAACCCAATCGAGTAGAATCACCAATTGATGTTGAAAAATTATTAAATAACGGCATCTTCATTCAGTCAACGGCTCAACAATCTTCCACTTCAGGCAAAGGATTATCTGAATCAATCGATGCTCAACAGCAAGAAGATAATCAAGTAGTCATCACTGACGACGACGACGACGAGGACGAAAGCTCAAGCACTACTGCGCAATCATTCACAGCCTTTGAATCGCAACCGAGCTCATTAAAAAAGGATTCCACGAAGCATCGTAATCAGCAAATACACGTAGCAAATGAAATTGAAGTCGACGACGATAAGCTCAATTCGAATAATAAATCATCAACGAACACATTGACTAATAGCGACGACCAATTGCAAAAAATCAATACACACAAAAGGAGCGATTGCACTGGCCAGCAAAGCGAAACCATCATTAATTTTGACGATAATAGAAACAACCTTGAACAAATATTCGACGATAAAAACCTATCGAACGGAATTAATCAAAACGAAATACAAATAGTTGACGCCAATGAGCAAGAAATAAGCGAAGAAAAGCAGGAGGACGCAGACGAGGAGGAGGAGGAAGAAAAAAGCAGTACATCGAATTCAAATGAAGTTACTGAAAGAAATCGTACGGAAACCGAAGTTGAACAACTTGAAAATATAGCGAATCGTTTAATAAATTGTACGCCTGTGTCAATAAGTACGGAATCGGAGGAGATTTGCAATTTATTTTCCGAAAATCAGCGACCGGCCATTGATTCGCCATTTATATATCACGACGAAGAGCTTAAAACCAATTGTATATTTGATGTTCGCCAGTTAAGCGGATTTCATTTGCCACCTTTCGATCATATTTATGAGTGTTATGATGAATTGGAAGATGATGTTGATGACAGTGAAATTCCAATATACGGTCTCAATGTAAATCAATCAAAAGGTAAATTGTTTTCTGTTTTTTTTTTGGTTCTTTTGTTTTGTCGAATGGAATTTAATTTGCGAGATGAAAATTCCATCAATTTTCCTCCATCATATTGAATGCATATAATGCTAAAAAAACGTGGAATTTTTTTACAGATATTTTAAATAATAACGACAACAACGATGATGAATTAACTAATTGTGATCCAGAGCAATTAAATTTTCCGTCAAATTACTGTCAGTGCACCATTGAATCAATTGTACCATTGTATCCAGAAGAAGCCTATCGACCAACGTCAAAAACAAATAAAACAGCTGCAATCATGAGGGACAAGACAACTAGCGGCACTTTACGTGGTCTATTGAAAAAACCAAATCGACCGCCACCATCACAGAAGAACCGTGTCATTTTTGATGAAACACGTAACGAATTCTTTGATGCCGACTACATTATTCTAGTACGAGATGATTGTCCATACGATGAAGAAGATGAAGAGCCGTGCACGTGTGGTGAACACGAATTGGTTCGATTGTGTTGTGATGAAGGTTGTCAATGTAGTGCATACACCGAGGATGGACGTACACCACAGGTAACACATTTTGATTTACACTTTCAAATGCATTTTAATTCTCTTAGAATTCAATCTATTAACCAATTTTGAATTGTTAGCGTGCGCTCAATCGATAAATTGCAAAATTGACGCCAAATGCTTGTCGTTTGTGCCAAAAACACATACACACTCACACCATCGCTTTGTTTTCCGTTTTTGTTCGGCACAAAGTGAATATCGTTGCAATTTATCTACATACCCCATTTACTTGAAAATGTTCTGCAAAATGTATGCGAGGAAATGTGTGCAAAACCCCAAAAGATGTAATAAGTTTTGACATTAATTCATATACTCACATGACATAGTACATAAAATATATATATTTATATGATATAAATATTATGACTCAAGGAAAAAACCTTTGACATCCAACATGTGCAACGTAGTTCGTTCGATGGCATGGTTCCAAGTTTTCGATTGTATTATAAAATTGGATGCAAGTTTTGGGCATTGTGCACAGTCGAGATTGTGCGCCCTATTCAATACGGTTAATTGTATACGTGCATGCATGTGATACGTTATTTATATAGAAATAGCAGCTGGATCGAAACAAAGTCGTCTTTAAGACGAGATATAATTTATATGAACAGATTCAACAGCCATTTTCCTTCAAAAAGTATAAACGCTAATTAATTTGTTCATTTTGGTAGCGGAGATTTACCGCAGCAGACGACACACATACAATAAAAACACAAATAAAAAACCCTATAAGAGAGCAGTAAAATGGCTGCAGTAATGTTTCATTTGCCGAGTGCACTGATTTCTTTGATCTACCCAAAGAATTACAGTTTTGTTACCTCTTTTTTTGTTGGACGAGCAAGTGCTTTAAAACACTTAATTCACTTTTGCTTGTGCGCCTGTGCAAAATGAAGAGAGGTGTAAAATGTGTTGAAATGCAATTTATCGAATCAATCAAATCGGCACCAAATGAATCAGAGAAAAATCAATAATATCAAAATTCCGGAAAAATGCGCTTTCGCTGAAATCATAGACGTTCGAAATTTCCCAACAACCTAGGTTTTTCTTCTTTTTTGTAATGGTCTAAATATTACTGTCACTTGCTTTTTATGAATAAAAGAAGGCCTGAACGCTCACTCTTCGCACATAATTAAATCATTTAAGTTGTTTGCCAAAGTGAATGAGGCGCATTTTTTTCTTGCTTATTGTCGTCACAAAAGCGAGCGATATGCAGGTGAATAAAAATGGAAGTAATGTTGTTTTATGTCGTTGTTGCGCTCTGAGCTGATGGTATTTCCATTTAGTTAAGCCTCTTCAGGTCGTTCGCGTCACAAGGAAAATGTTATTATTTTGATTTTTTTTTCTTGATTCATTGAAGTTTGCATACAAATCGAGAAAATAAGCTTTCAAATGATTTTAGGAACGCTGTTTTTTCTCTCTGAGAACCACAAAAAGAGAAAGGAGAGAAATTGCGTGCAAAAGAGCAACATTAAAAGAGGAAAAATGCTTTTTTCACAGAATCTTTCGACATTTTGAAAAGCGAAGTTATGTTCAATGCATTCCATAAATGTCTTGGAGCTACGGTATGTAAAGCATTGGCGCAAAAGAATTTTAACTTTTATTAAAAGACACTCCTTCTGTGCTGCGCCAGTATCGAGGTGCTCGATGGACTTTTAATTCAAAAAAAAAATGACTAAAAACGAAATTCTCAGCCACTCTGACTTTTGCTCTCAACTCAAAAAAAAAATATAATTCATATATGACTCGTTTATGAATAGTCTACTTGTATACGTGGAAAACTACAAAAATGAAAATTGCCAAAATAACTTCGATACAGTTGTGTTGCCAGTTTCCTTGAGTTTATGAAAAAGCATTGAATCTTTTATTGCATTATATTACATAATCAAATTCAACGTCTTTTTCTCAAATAAAAGCACATTGAATTGGCAGCAAAGGAAGCAGCCCAAAAAAAACGAAGAAGACTTGCCCGTAATTCAATATCTATTCTATTCCATTAGTTATCAATTTTGTTGGAGTAGCTTTCTCGAGAACACTCATAAGAGAAGAAATTTTCGAGGAGTGCCCTGGCACTTTTTGCTCGATTGTAAGTTAAGTGATGAATGAAAATACAAGTGAATGTATACACTCCCAAATGTAGATATACAAAACTCATGTTCAGGTCAATGTGCTTCACCATTGCAATTCCCTTTTGAAAGACGGAAAATTTTCATACTTGATAGTACTTAACAAGCAATGGAGGCGATTAATGAAAAGTGCTCGATCACAAATAACGATGCATCTGAAAAATTTCCATCCCTTAAATAATGACGCCTGGGGACATGGAGTGCTGTTAACTCATTTATAAATAGTTTATTTTAATTAGCAACTCAACGATCAAATTCAGAGTGGAAGGAGTTGGTGTAGAAAAAGTTAGAGCGCACGTTTGTCAGTGACGTGCAGTCAAAGTTTTCGAACGCGAAAAGTGTGGGCGAAAGAGGAAAAAGTAAATAAAATTCATTCGCATATTTATCAAATGAAACAATGGACGGAATAAACAATGGCTCAATGATACCATTGGAAATGTACCATTGCAAACGTTGCAATGATGCTCTTTAGGCAAAAAAAAACCAATGCAGAGAAAAATATATTGTTATTTTTATCTGTGGGAATGCGAGCAACAAAAATAGACGACCACAATCAACACTGCATTGCATGATGCGCATTTTAATATTCTTTTCGTGCGAACAGAATATGCATTCTATTTTTTTTTGTCTCGCCAACTTCATTTTTTTTGTGTCACTGGTCAAGCACACAGTATGACGTGCATAGAATTGCTTCAAATGACTTTGAGCAAAAATTATTTAAGAAAAAAGTTTCAAATTGTTTGAAACACCTATAGAAATGGCAACTGATATGTACATAGATGATTGAGATGACATTGAGCGCACACATAGGAATGAGAGAGAAAAATTATTGATTGTTCTATTTAAAAGTACTCTGTAGTGACATTATTTCGATGTTAATTAGAGCCAACGATGTCTATTTCATAAAGAGAACACAAGGAAATGAGTTTTGTGGTTATCGTTTATTTTAATCTTTCACATTGTAACCATTCTGTTTGCAGAGTCCGAAATATGCGCCACCGATAGAGTTTGTGGATCAGGCGGCGTTGAGCCCGCCCGAAGGTTATAAGGATGGCGGACTGCAACAAGCATTGGGGGGTGTTTTAGGTGGTCACATTTTTGGCGCTCAGCATATTCAGCAATTGCAGGTGATTCAACGATTACAAGCAAAACGAGCGGCCATGTTGGCTGCCCAACGCGCAAACAACAACGGCACTAACCAAAGTGGTAGCTCAAAAAATCAAGTCGCGCCACCACCACCGCCTCCATCACAGACCATTTGTACCGAATGTGCTGAATGTACGGAGTGCGCTGCCAAACAGGAACACGATGAAGGTATGTCATACTCTTTTCCTTTGATACGATTATTTTCAGCTCGAAAAAAAAAATCAATATTTCATTTTGCTACGAGATGTTATCTCGTCGAGCTACACTATATAAATATTTTTACAGAGATAAAAATATAATTTTCGGTTTTCTTTTTTTCGTTCGACTTTCTGTCGTGAAAACAACCGCAAAATTCATTCGCTTTGAAGAGGAAAGATTAGAGAAAATGAAAATACAGTACAGAAGCCAAGTGTCTATCTCTTTTTCTCCCACTCGACATAATTGATATTTCTATGCTATAAATAACGGATGAGAATGCTTTCCGTTTTCCGACATTTCATTACACGCAATATCGTATACAATACACCCACCACATATTCGCATTTATATAAAAATATTTACCAAAAACTCATTCAACCATAACAATTTAGATTAAACACATGGGAACGATTACTCTGCATATGACAACGATGATGATGATGATAGTTCAATTGTAAACCGTTTTCGCTTTCGAGAAAAAACAAATTCTCCATTTTTTTTATTGGACATTAACATTGAACATGGCACGAAGCGGTTTTAATCATTACGAATTATGGCAGAGAAGAAAGTGCGTAGTCGTTCAATCAACTTTCAGCCTTGACCCAGCGTGTGTCGTACATGTAAGGCTTACATTGTAAGCATCCCATACATATCGCAAACTCGCGCACTCCTGCACCACCAAAAGATTGTAACTGACAAAGACGAAGACGACCGCTCGAATTTTCACAGCTCTTTATTGAATAGCAACAGAAGCATGTTATAGACCAGTGCGTGCTTGCGTGCGTGTTGTTGATTGGCTCACCCTGGTTTTTCATCCGTATCTCTTCCATTTGTTTCATACGCATTCAATTTGCCCAAATCTGTGGACTTTATCTGATGCATGTGTGCGTGTGTGCGTGTGACGTACGGTTCCGATACGACCATGGCTGGATTTGAAAACAAATAAGGGTGAATAAATTCTAAAGACTATCGAACCTGAACGAGACAAAAAAAACTACGAAAACATTTTTTCAAAGTAAAATTGATGTTAATCAAATGTCTATGCAGACAAAATTGACACTCGTACCATTTGAAGTGGATGAAAAAGTCTGCCATTGATTCATATATTATGAAGGAATGCAAAGCCGACGACGGCCACATATTTTCACTGAACAAATGCTGCGTTGTCAATGGTCGTGGCGAATAAACTTTTTGGTTCTCTTTTCATTCGAACTTAAATCCAGTGGTTGATTTATTTCAATGTGCAAAAAAAAAAAAACTTTTAACTTTTATCAAATTTCACTTTGCACACGCTGAAATATATTAAAACTTTGACTTTTATCAACTTTTTCATTGCTATTTATCTTTTTCATTTGAATATAAAACTTGTTTGACAAACAATGACTTTATTTTTGGTGAGCACTCAATACGATTAAAATATTTTAATTGTACAATGTGCGCCGTAGAATTTGACGAACTTAAATAAAATTAGAGTGATACTAAAAAAGGGGAATCTGTCTTTTTTTATGACCCATTGTAACATTTTGGCATTTATGCATGGTATCAGTTTCAAAATAAACTTAATGATTCGGTAAACGTAAGAGCGCAATGTGCGTGCTCACTTCACTCCTGTCGAACCCATTTTTTTTTTCGACAAAGAGCACATGAAAAATTAAGCGATAGTATGTAAAAGAATTTGTACACATATTCAAAGGCAGTGAGTCGCTTGCTCTTTCAACTGTGACTCCGGTGGCAGCGCGTAGTCGTCGAAATATACACGAACCCATTGCAATCTGTTCCGGTATTCATATTACTAACAATGCCTTGAATGGGAAAAAATTCTACAAAAAAAAACCGACAACAACGCAGTCAATTTTTACTGTTGAAACTCGGATTTTGCTGGAATAAAGAACGAAAGAAGAATAATCATGGAAGTAAAAAGTGTGTAAAAAGAGAGAAACAAGCATTTGAAAATAATGTGTTCCAACGATTTTTTTTTCACCACAGAGGAAGCATTGAAATGCAAGGCCATTGTTTTAATCGCATAATTGTTCGTAGTCAATAAAAATGTTGAAACGCATTCAAAAACTTCCGAGCGATTTTTCGTTGTTGTTATTTGATCTCAAATGAATCTTTGTCGTAATGCCATTGGAAAAAATTGATTCTACCTGAAGTTTAGCGATGCCACTAATTTGACTGTTCTCTCACAGCAAATGGAACACTTAACAGCATGAACTCATGATATTATTTTAAATGACACAGTGTCTGACCACCGCTGCAATGCATATTTCGGATATTGGATATTAAATTTCGAATCCGGTGCACATATAATCAATGACCATACAACACACCTTCGTTTTTTTTTACAATGAACACACACATGTATATATTCCATAAATTGAACTGATGGCACGCACATTGTAAAAACAAGCTTCGGAAGAGTTGGGATAAAAGCATAGTAATAGCATTAAAAAACTTAGCATGGACATAAAATGATTGGGAATCACAATGAATTGGTTTTGTGACATCGACAGTTTTCATTTTAGCATGAAGGCGATCGATCGTATATTGTTCTAAAGACCAAGTGAACAGAGAGAGTTATTTTTTTACAATAGATTTTGTTTTTCTAATAAAAAATATCCTCTTTTTAATCCTGAGTCCCATTGTGAATTGTAAGTCGTATTTTCTATTATTTCCAATTGTTTTCAATTGAATTTATTAAATTTTGCAAGTGAGTGCAAGGTGAAAAGTTTTCCCTCAATGAATTATTTTAGTTTATTGGTTTGATTGGAAGTGAAAAGGTTATATAATGCAAAAAATATGAGAGTATTTTGTTCGATATATTTTAAAACCAATTTTCCAACAAAATTTAATAAAAAAAGACGAAACTATGTAGTTCATTCATTTTTGTTTTGCTCTCATTTTAACAATGCTAAGCTTCTGCCTAAAGCCTTCGAATCATTCCACTTTTCCACATTCAATTTGATGTGTATTTTTATGTTTATATTTTATATATAAACATTTCAGTGCCTATTCAAAAGTTGTGGATTGCAGTTTTTTTGCTGTTCTTTTCGAGCGACTAAATAGAAAATACATTTTCCAATGCTGTAATACAATTGATGGGTTTCTAGTTTTTCAATATTTTTTTCTTCTTTAGTTCATGTATGAATGGCATTTCCGATTATATTTTCATGGAAAATCTATTCTTTACTATCGAAAATCTTTGAACTATCTTTTCGCTTATTTCCTGTTTTATCTTCCATGCAGACGAATCACAAATAAGATTTTTCGGCATGAACAAGGCCCAGGTCTCAATATTCGTCAAAGAACCAAATCCGGCCTTCCAACAAACGATTTTGTTGGCAAATTCTCAATATTTATTTCGAATATCGGCGAATGAAAAAAATATATATAAAGAAAATCCCAGTTATTTTATTTTCCAATCAAATTCTCGATTTGAATTAGATTTTCAATGAACTGAGATACGTACGTATTCAAATGCATTAGCATATATGCGATGAGAATGGGATCGTCTTGTCGCGACACTCATGTCGTACATATACACAAAACCCATTCATAATGGAGATGGTGTATTAAAATCGTTTTCACTTTGCATATTGTTTGTGGTGTAAAGAATTCAATGTGAATGGATCTCGTTTGTGAGCGATATGTTAAACAAGCCACCAGTGACAAAGCAATTCATCTCGGTCATCATTTGAATCATAAAACAAACAAGATACATTTATTGTATTGTAATAATAGTTGCACTGTATAAACACAGTCACATTGCCACGCGCACTCATACATACCTACAGCCATGAAATGTATGTAGCGACGTATTCGTTTGCTTTCGTACAAGACTCGAGATGATAAATTAACTAAAAAGCATGATTTGTCATCTGACTTTGTATGTTTTGCGTGCGTGTTGGCATCATTGTACAATTATTACAATGTCAGATCCGCCAACCATTTGCTTTGGCCTCACAAAATACCCGTTTCCTTGCCAATGATCTGTCATTCTATGTCTTCTTCATTTTCTACTTTTTTATACACATTTTTTTTTTCTGCTTTTCCAAAATGTTACAGTGTTGACATTTATTTTAGTATTCGTACTTTAGAGCTAACGACAATTCTAGGGGGTAGACACCTATGAATCCAGTGTGAATTATTTGATTTCTATGAAATCTTTGACTCTTGCGATTTCGGTGATTTCTCGATTCCAAACCTCAATATTGGACATAAAATACACTTATATACAAAGCTAATTTCACTGTGGTAGTTTGCGCCTATAGTAGAAGTCGCACACATAGTGTGTGTGTGGTACAATATACACAACATTTGACAGAAATCAAAGAAATCACAAAAATTGAATTCTGCGATTTCTGTGATTTTTGTGATTTCTGTGAGTTTTGATTCCACGTGTCTACCCCCTAGCGACAATTCTTCAATATTAAATCAAATGGAATTTTTTTATGTTTATTCGTCGATTGGAAGGAATTTCGCAAGATTTCTTTCGAATAAATGCGATGTATTTTTATTTTGAATTTCTAATTTCTTTTGGGATGTTAACGCTTTGTATAATGTTGATTTACAGCGAAAAAGGTCAGAATAACAAAAGAAAATAAGGGCCGAAACACAGTTCATACAAATGTTGGATTTTTTTTACAATTGACTCAACTCTAAAGAAGTTCTTGTGAATGCAAAATGAATATTTCGTCTTTCGCTCTAAAAATAGAGTAAAGAGAATTTTCTCACCACTTTCCGCCTACGAGCACTAGTCCTACTGTGTATTTAGTTTAAAAATTCTACTTTCCGCCCATTGAGAATGTTTGCATTTTATTCTCTCGACACGTTAAATGTCTATTCACATTACAAAGAACGAACGCGTGTGAATGACCGGATGTTTGCAATTAAAACATGATAATGATGTTTCTTGCTGATTCTTTTTTAATTCGGTGGTGCTATTTTTGGATTTTGGTGCCATAAGAAGAATGGAAATAAAAGATCAAATTATAATACAAATGAATATGAACCAATATTAAGTAATAATGACAGTAAATTAATTAATGCCTATAAACAATATATTTTCGCACACTCATAAGACAAAATGAAAGAGAGAGGGAGATAGAGAATGGCAGAATTGAAAAAAAAGAGCATATTATTAAATTATAGACATCGATGGTGGCGGCTATGGTGACAATGTTGAAAATGATACGAATAAAAATAGTCGACGCGATGAAGACAAATGTGCGCTCCATTACGATGTAATTCAATTCTCATCTTTGTACAATCTTTTTTTATCTTTCTCTCTTTCTTCCAAATGTATTAAATAACAGTAGAAATGGTGGCACCTTCTGTTTGCGCCACTCGGTGATACATTTTTTTCTCTACTCTCTGTCTCTGTTTCTCCTTCATTCATTTGACAAGTGTATGCGTGTGAATAAAATCGATACATTATCTTGGATGAAGAAAAAAGCACCATCTACATGTCTCGACTGTAGAACCTGTCATTTGTGCGGCAATTTATTATTCACCACTTAAACTAGCCGTACAGATCAAGTCATTTGCAAATGGAAATGTATCGTTTTGTATTTGACTCGAATCTGTTCTACATGTGTATGGGTAGTGTTCACAGTGAATTACCGTTAATCGTAATGTCGATTTAGATAAACATAATTTTGCCATCATCAGAATTGACATCGTTGTCGATGTCGAAAGTAGCAGGTTTCAAATACACACACGTAAAAGGTTTCAAATGAAATTCAATTTATTTGGAATGCAATGAGACATTTTACTCATGTTAGCGTTTTTTTTTTATAAATCGTGCTATCGAAATATTATTGCACATTGATTCGAAAATGTTTGTGACAAAAAGTCATCCATGTTGGGTTTCAATGATAAAAATAAAAATCTTATTGATTTTCTGCCGTTTTCAGCTTTACCACACATGGCACTTTTATCGATTCAAGCAACGTCACCGGAGCGACGTTTCACACAAAAAGAAATTATCGCTGGAGAAGAACGACCAAAATATTTGCTCATCAAACAGCATCAGGACTCTGTATCATCCGGATCAAATGCAACACCAGCAGGTATTTGCGAAAATCTTTCGATTATCATTTTTTTTCAGTTCTTTTTGACATTTATTAACATATATTTATATTCGTTTGAATCGAAAGCAAGAGAATTGTTTCGGTTTAACACAATGAATAAATAATGTTTATGATAATTGGACGAACGATAAATTTTCCATTAAAATTGCAATTTAATTACAGTAAGATATGATATAAATAATGGCACTCAATTCACAAAGCGAAAAATCGGCCCAATTTATCCACACATTGGTTACATGTATTTGAAAAAAATCTGTTTAGACAATGACACCCACACATACACACACACACTCAAACACAAACACAAACCATTTTTTATGTATTATTTAAAATGGTAAATTTTTTAGTTAAGGATCCAGAGCTAGCATGTATTGTATTCGTATTATGTTGTTATGAGTTCGTTGCTTTATGTGTTCAGAAATTTATTATGATTTGGTTGTGTTCGACCAATTAATTAAAATTGATTGCATTCTGTATATTGGCGGTTTTTCGCCATTTACATATTGTATATTTTTGTTGTTGACGGTTTTTCGCGTGACCTCAGTGACATACATCATCCCTGTTTTTTTTTTCTCTGTGCGTATCTCACGTCACGTTTATTTCTGTTTGAATGGAATTTTTCGGAATGGTAATTAAATCACTCGATTTGCTGAAACGTGTGAGTGCCAAAATTATTGATACCGAGGTCACGCGCAATAATCAACCACGTAAACGTTTTTCGAGAAACAAATTCTCTTTTCTCTATCCACACGTTGAGTTTATCATTTTATTATTGAATTTGAATGAGTGAATGAGAGAATTGCATATGTGATGACGTTCAAAATCGTTGTAACCAATTGATACAAATATATTGAATAACAGCCAATGAAAGTTCTTGCTCACATTGAAACGTAATCTTCCAATTGAATTGAGAATATAAAGTTTTTCGAGCAAATTGAATTTTCATTGCATCGATTGAATACATCTATATTTATTATATGCAGAGTTCGCTCATTTCATATTCACAAAAATGGACCACAATCTATTTTATGTTGATGTTCGAACACACTCACACACACATACACACAAACACCAAATCCAAATTAGTTAAGTAAACAAAATTGAGCATTTTGCATAAACTGGATGCGAAAAGACGTATACATTTGAAATTTGAGGCATACTTTAATTATAAATGCGTACTCTATATATAGCCATAGGCAAGCATTGATGGAAAATGTAATCAAGTGTAATTTTGATTGTGCATGCATTTGATTTGTATCGAGCGCACCAGATTACAAGTGAAAATAGGACCACACACACACATACACGTTTTAATCAGTGCTCCTATTTTCACTGCTAATGTAAACATATAATTGAATTTGAGTTATTGTTCCCTTTTTCAGTGTGTGGCCTTTGTGTTTTACCAACAAATATTTTTTTTTTCTTTTTCTGTCTTTTTTCCTTTTTTACTCTTTTTTCTCGTTTGTGACGGCCGACAATTTTTGGTTGCGAATTTTCAACACACCACAACAAAAATGTGATGGGTATTTTTCATCTCATCTAAACAAAAAAAATCGTTTCCAATATGCATACATGCATACCATATGTAATGCATACATAAAACACAAAAAAATCATCATCCGATACCAAATAAATAACCGATTTTGTACCGCTTTTTCCTCATTCAAAATCACAATGCGATAAATATTTATAAATTCATTTGGTTTCTCTTTTTTCGTTCTTTTTTCCTTGCTTTGTTTCATTTGAAAATGGAACTTTGCCACTCGTAAATGGATACTTTTGTGAATCAAAACTATTTTCATTTCTAATTCGGCCCATTTTTATTGCGGATTTTTTTACTCTTTCGATTGATTTTGTGAATTCGTTTGTATCTATGTTTAATTTTGATTGATGCAAAAATTGATGCTTGACCAAAATTGGCAAAAAAAAATTGTAACCAAAATTATTAAATTTTATTTTTGCGTGGGATGGGGGATGGTAACATATATATCATACAAAAAAAAATATAATTGTTACATTGCACAACAGAAAAGAGTCGTTCGTCAAAAAATGCAATGAGCCAACGTTATGTCGTTGAGACGATCACAATGACAACCGTTACTGAACGACGTGTTCTAACCGAAGAGACTAATACAACAAATTCTATTATTATTGCACCGACAGCAGCGACAACGACAGCGACGCCGGCTACAGCAGCACCACCAACAACAATCGCAGCCACAGATAAATCCACTGACGATGGACAGAAGTCAACGGCTGGAAACGAATCACGTAGTACATATCTCAATTCAGATATTAGTTTGAAGCCGACTAGCATCTCGGCACAAATTACCGGCATTCTCAAAGGTGGCAAATTATGGAAAAACGATACAGTTCAAGTATGCATATGATATTCAATTAATATTTCACTTTAAAGCTATTGAATATGCTTATTTCAAAATTACATTTCTGATTACAGAGTGACGAAACAACATCGAGCGCCACATCTGATGATGAAACATCAAAACGTTCGGTGCGTTTTATCGATGGTGGTAATACAAAGTCGGAAAATTCAAGTGAACCCGATCAAGATGCATGCGATGGCGAATCAGGTCTAGGTAGTGGTAGTGTAACCACCACCGAAACAGACGTTGAATCAGATTCAATGATGAAACAATCAACATTGTTCCATAATTCATTAAGACCAAATTCAGCGTTAAGACAACTTTTCCCTGCTGCTGTGTTAAATACAAATACACAACCAACGCAAGCACTAACGCACGAAGCTTTACGAGCATTTGATGAGTCAAAACGTAGCCAATTGAAATCGAGCATTGTGCACAGTGACTCTGAAACCGATACCATTCGACGTACAATCGAACGAAATGCACTTCGCAGATCACTCATCAAATATGAACCAAAGTAAGTATAAAATTAATGTGATAACTTCAGAGATTGAAAATTATATTTATATTTATGTTCGATAGGAAAAAGGCAACTAAGCCAAATACATCGCTAGAAGAGCGTATTCGTCAATTAACTTGCGATGTTGACGAACCACCAAATGAGAATGCAACGATTAAAAATGATGGCAGAAAACAGCTTGAACGACGAAGTAGTCCAACGGGTGAAGAAAATCCACAATCCCAAGTCACAAAATATGTGCATACGGACAAAAGTATCTCACCAATTTCAACGGCATCTAGTTCATCAAATAGCTCAATTTCGGCTTATAAAAGAATCACTGATATCTTCCACAAAGAGAAACGTCAAGAGCGCATTCCAGAGGCTGATGAAAATCCAATTGTTATCCTACCTCAGGTAGGGGACATTTACCATTCTTTTTCCATCTCTGCATCTATTTTGAATAGTTAAATTTTTTAATTGGTTGTGTCTTTGTGTTTTAGCAATTGCAACAAGATTGTCGTTGTCCATCGGCTCCTGACCTTGGAATGGGTTCCCATTTACCAAATGCAAACAATCAACTGCAAGCAGTGCGACCAAGCGATTCACGTCGCCAATTTTTAAGTACATTGGCACCGTTAACTGCATGTGTGGCTGGCCAAAGAGACGATATGTCATTTTATTCATTAGCTGCGGGTGACCGCAATTCAACTGGTAGTTCACGTTGTTCGGAATATAGCATTGGTGACATTGATGCAATATTACAAAATGATGATGCGAAAAAAGTGGCACCTGATGTAATCGCCGGCACACCAGGTCAAGAGCAACACGATGAATTAGCCGCATTTGCTCAGCAAGATGCCACACGTACCGAACGCATTAAAAAGCGATACAATCAAGAAACATCGACAACCACATCGGTGCCCACGTCAAATGCTGGCTCCGATGATGATGATGAACAAAATGACTATGGTTTCAATCATCGGCCATCGGTTCGCGGTATAAAGCCACGATCCAATGAAGAGATGCTGCAAGAGATGCAAACACAATTATCTAATACTTCCGTTTCAAAACCGCCACCGGTAAGTGAATTTTCAAATACATAACACACTCCGTGACAATCAGATGATAAAATTTTTATTAATTTAATAAAACACATTAATTTTCTGAAAATTAGTTACTACCCCGTAAAAGTGGTCAATCAAATACGTTGCCAAAGGCGAACACTCAATCACTTCAATCGAAATTGTTGCAGCAACAACAGCAACATCAACAACAACAACAGCAACAGCAACAGCAGCAACAACAACAGCAAATACAAATGCAACAACAACCACAAACGCAACAACAAATTGCTAGCATTGTGCATCAACAGAATATTTCAACTTGGAATGCATACTATCAAGAGCAGGCGCAACGAAACAGTTTGCCAGCCAATACACCGGCCACATACTTTCAACATTTGCCAATTCATGCAGCCCGTCATAGTTTTCATCAAGAAGAGTCAACCATTTATCAAAATTGTCAGGGTGTCGCAATGGAACAGCATTATGGTCAAACAATTGCAGCACGTAGCCCAACACGACGACCCGAATCGCCTCCACCACTGCGAAATTATCATCAAACAATGGTATTAATTCCATATAATACAGACACATACGCACATTTTGCAGCTGATCAAATTGCCGCACAACAATTTCAACACCAAAATATTTTAGAATATCAACAGGTGAATGGAGTAGTTGATCAAAATTTACACAATCCACATTTTAAATGATAACAATAATAATAAAAAAAATATTTCGTTTTATGTTTATTTTCGCATTATCGAATAGGTTACACAACAAACGATTCGTGTGCCAATCGGGTATCCGTTACCAGGAATGCAATTGCATGTGGTAACCGGAAATGCAAATCAACCAGCCTATGCACAGTACGCAACGGCCACACGGCAACAAACACAAATGAATGCAGCTAATCGTCCAGCTTACGGTTATATTCAAGATCAATCAGTGCCAGCTGCTGTTAAATATACCGAACGGGGAGCACCAGAAGGTGCTGCGGCAAGCGTATCACAATCCGATTGTACATTGATACCAAACAGTGTGGGCACGGTGACATCAACGGCAAACAATACACAAACCTCAAATACATCGACCACAGCACAACAAGGGGCTGTTTTTTATGCCATGAATGTTTGATCGAAGATTTAGAAAAAGTCGATCATTTTTAAGCGACATACAAACCAATCGCATCATACTTAATTTTTTTTATATATATATAACAAATAGATTTCAAACAGCTAGTGCCAAAACAGAACCATGTAAAAAACTCATTGATTTTTTTACATAAAATTGATGAGTTCGAAATGATACGTAGTCAAAGCTATGAGTGAGATTTTTTTCGCGCGTGCACGAATCTTTTTAAAGGTGTATTTTTTGAAGAAAAAAAAGATCGATTCATTGAAGCAGTTGTATTATAGATTTGTGTTCATGAGCTTAACTCAAATTCAAATTGTTTGCAAAAAAAAATTCGAGAGGGAAAATATCAAATATGGAAAATGAATTTGTGTTCGATTTAAATAGTTTGACATATTTGGCATGTACTCAATACGTACAATAGAAATACTAGAGTGTACAACTCGAGAGAATGATCTGCATCACATTTTATTATTGTAAATGTGTAAACGTGTTTATTCTTTCTTAGTGAAAGAAAGAAAGAAGATCAATAGAAGTCTGTTTTCTATATTGATAATAATAATAATAAATAGAAGAAAATATTATAAAACAGATGTGAAATTTAACTATAAAATAGTATGAAACACAAACAGACAAATTCTGGTCATGGGGCATTATTTGAGATAAACAATAAAATGGTGAAGCAAAAGTGCCAATTTTAATCTCTCAACCGCGACAAAAATACGTCTTTTGAAAGAATAGAAATACCGCCGTCTTCAACTGGCGGTACTCAGTTTCGTTTTAAAAGAAATTTCCCTCTCTCTTAAGATGATATCTGCTTCTTTCTATTGCATTACACACTTTCTATACATCAATAATCTGTTGATGGTTATATCAAAACGAACACTTAATTTACTCTACGCTTTGTGCTATTGCAAAGTCAGATGTAAATTGCTTTGGTCATCAAACTTAACATCACACTTTTGAAATCTCTTTTATTTTTAACCCTTGCACTATACTCTTAAACCGAATTTCCAAAAAAAAAAATTAAAATCTATTATCTTGTTATGTGTTTAAAACAAAAATTGAGCATATTTATCTTAAAAAAAAAAAACAAATTTATTGGCCAAAAATTATGAAATTGGCGAAGAAAAATTGGCTTGAAAGTATTTTTTGTTTATCATCGTTTTTGTTTTCTATAGACAACATTGAGTATACCAAATTCTCTGTGTTGGCATAGAGTATTTAATCGAAATGAAGTCTATGAAAATCCCTCATACACTTTGGAATACGAGTATATCAAACTAAAGGCTAGAGCATGCCATCGTTTCGTTTCAAATATTTGGACACATTTCAAGCACGCACACAAAATCAAAAATCGCATTATATTTTATTCTATTATTATATCCTCTAACTCTATCGATAAATGTTTAGTTTCCTGTTGTCATTAGGATCTCAAAATACTGCTAATTTATTGTTATCTATAGAGTGATTTGCAGCCTCTGAATGCGATCACCTTTCCAGAAAAAACGGAAGCATTCATTATTATAAATATAAATTCATAGGAGGATGACATCAACGGCATTGATGGTCGAGATCGAAAATAAATCCAATTTTGAACAAATCTAGATTGAATACGGAAAAATCGAATTAGTCGGATGGTATAGCGTGGATTTTGAACCAAGTCACAGATCGCATAAAATAATAAAAATCTATTACTATATATATATACATACAATATATTGTTTGTTGACATAAAACGAAAACACAAGAGAAGACAAAAAAAAAATGAAAATTTGGAATAGAAATTATAAATATATAAAGAAATTTAGCAAACACAACAATTAGATTTAGTGATTGATTCTATTTTTTTGTGAAGCATTTAAAAATGAAGAATACAATAATAATTCATGAATTGAATTGAATATATTATAGCATAAGATTAACATTCAAAGTACTTAACATTCACAAAGCATTTTACTGAAGAAAAATGTATAACAATTTGCAAGCAAATGAGAGAGTATTGAATAATTAGGAGAGAAGTTTCACGCAAGTTTTATGTGTGTTTAAGCACACATTCAGTCGAATTATATATTGCATTACTATTATAAATAAACTCAATCACATAAAACAACAAACAAAATAATATCTCAACTTATAAGAATCGCAAGAAAAAAAAACTGTATTGATTCGCAACAAATGAAAGAATCTAATGTAATTTTTAAATTTATGTAAAATTAATTTTAGCGAAAAACCAAAAAAAAAAAAACATTGATTGATTCAATAAAAATGGCAAATGATTCAATATATTGATGTTTTATTAATCACGTTTATCCATTTTATTTTGCTTCACTGAGAAGGAGCTCTGCTTTTCATTGCTCATCCTTAGAGCGCTCCTCCTCCTTCATTTTGATTATGTTTTTAGTGTAAAAGGGGTTCTCTCCGCAAAACCTCTAACAAAAATGGGTTTTTGATTCCACTCGATTACGGGGTAGGGGGTTAATCCTCGTCAACACCTATGATTCACGCCGAAAAAATGATTCATTTTGAGTATTTTTCAATTAAAATCGAATATTTTCAGATCAAAAGTCAAATCGTATCGGTGAGAATGATAATTTACAATTAAAAGTATTTGAGCCTGAATGTAAGTCAAAATACATCAATTTTCATGAAAATCATGCCAATACGTGAATGATTTTTGTGCTACACATCATGTAAAATTCAACAGATTATCATCTGATCGAAATTGGGTGATTTGTACCAATTGATATACATTTTTCCAGCGGAAATGAGTATATTCTTCTCCTCTCCACACAATTTGCATAAGAAAGCCATGAACGGTCAGTTGCCTAATAAATTGCAAACGAATTCTCTTTTTTTTATTGTATGCAATTGTTGGCGAAAATGCAATCCATTGCTTCCGAATAAAAAAGCGTGTCATAACACCAATATATGGTCAACGTTGAATGAATGAAGTGAATTACTGATTTAATGACGTCACGTGTTACGATAAATATTAAATGGCCATGTCCGATGTCCATATATGCGTTTGATTGAAGTTGTATTGTACGGCGGTTATATGCTCATCTACGCAGCACAAAAAATATTATGGCATGTGAAGAGGGAGTGAGATAGCGAACAACAAAACAGAGACGAGGTAAGCAATTTTTGGTATTGTTTGTCACGTTGTTCGATACGTGTCTCTCTGCAAAACGTTATATCAACCGTTCAGGGTTTCAATTTCACCACGACTTTTCTTTGTCGCTGTTCTATTTACATTCGCGTGCATTCATTTATAATTAAAAAGTTTTCTCGTATTTCTAGAACAAAAACCGATACACAGCGGCTCCAAACAATGGTTGATTTTAAATAACTGAGACTGAAGTGCCCATTGTATTTGTTGAATATATACTCTCATGCCGATCAAATCTGATGCGCAAAAATTCTCGATTCATTCGCCCCGTGTCCTATGTTTCTGCTTTCGTTTGTTATTCGTATATTGAGATTTGAATACACCGTTAAATATGCTGTACACATTTTCCACCGTTCAACCAATGTGTACAATCAGTAAGCTCGACAATCCAATAGTAACGATATTGCATTTAACTTGAAATCAGTTATAATTCAACGCTCATGCAAAGCAGACGTATTTTTAGCGTTTAGCGTGAAACATTTTAAGTAGATAGTGATTTTGTTTATAATTTGCAATCAAAAATTATTTACATATATTAAATTTGTGGAAAAAAAATCACCAGAGAAAAAGGCATCAAAAGAGAAAATTAATTTGAAACAAAATTCATATACAATATAAATAGTGTAGAAAATAGTATAATGGACACAGAATTCTCCTCAGATTTCAAAGTGATTTTCAGTTATATTTGTTGAAATATATTTTCTTTCAAGCGTTTAATGACTTTTAGTGAAAAGATTTTGTGTGTTTTGATGTGATCGTGTGTTTGATATCATATTTCAATTGCATTCATTTCTGAAATAAGTCGTCTAAAAATTTGAATTGAAATCAAAATAAGAAAAAAAGAATCCAGTTTGAACTTTTCATTTGAATTGAATGACTCTAAAATAAATTAGTTTTTCATTAATCTTTGAATAATTACACCCTTTCTCAAAATCGGTGGCCAAAAGTGGAATTTAAAGAAAAAAGTTACCTATCAATTGATTGTAGTGATAATTATTTTGTCGAATTTGATTACTAATGAACCAATCACGTGCCAATCATTTAACTGGAACATTTGTTCATTCATCATCATTTTTCGTGTTGGCAAATCGACAGTTATGTCAAATTGATTTTCGCTCAAGTTTCATTTACTTAAGTGTGACACGAAATTATTAAACTTAGCAAATTTGAATCTGTGCCCTAAATCCAAATTTGAGGTGAGTACGATTTTATGTAAAATATTCTGTCGATTTTTTTAAGCTTTCAATTTCAGCTACCATGATTGACATAGTTTTGAAAATATTCCTTGTCTGTGGACTATCAAACACGCATTACATTTTCACTCATACAGTTGTTAAAAAAATTATTAATCCGGGATATTGCCTTCCTTGTCATACCGCATCGTCTTTTCGATTGCTAAACGGCCTATGAAATATATTACACCATGCCGCTAAAACGCCATTTCGTATGAAAATCATACTTGGGCCCTTGCTAACTGGTTTTTTGCTGACGAATAATTGACTGTTTTTGTAGTAGCATACGGCGTCAATGTGCCATATGTACTTTGACTAGCAGCAATCACAGTAACTGACTCGTTAGCCCGAACCCAGCTCTGATGAAAATTATTTTATGAGCTTTTGAACGGCTTGGTAAGTAATCGCTTTAATTATTGCACTATAATCTCTCGACGTGCACGTGTACATTGCGATGGTACAATTCTACAATCGTAATTTGTCGGCTTGTTATGTTTACGGTCAAACTGTATGGAATCTTTGATCGATACGAATTATAAAAACTGGAGTGAAAAGAAAATACGGATGAACACACAATTGTGCTGCTATTGTCTGTTGTTATTGTGTTGTTTCGATGTTTTTTTTCTTCCAACAAAAAAAAAAATGCTTATGTGACTGATGGAAAGAATAAGCCATTGCACGTTATGGCTTATGTCCTCACACATGTTGCCTTGTGATATAAGAATGACAGTGTCAAAGCAAAACCAAATCAATTTCAGTGACTTTTTTTGTCACAATAGAAATGTGAATTCGTGTGAATATATGGGCAATGAAAGCATTATAAATACTGTTTAACGATTGCCAAGGTATAAATCAAAACTAATTGAAATGAAATTTCAATATTAAAATTTATAAGCCAAAATATGAAAATTCACGATACTTTGGAAATTTTCCTTAAAATACGTGTTTGAACACTGAAATTAATGTAAAGCGGTTGCTATGAGGATTTCAGATTCAAAATCACGAGGCGACAAATGTGTACAACATGTTTTTCTCGTGCCAATTCCCCACCGATTAGACAACAACAACAACTAAACAAAATAAATTGTGTGCCACTATTATAATGCTGTTATGTGACAGAGTGAATAACAGATTTCATTTTATTTGTAAGAGGTCACCCAACGACAATAGAAAAAAAACCGACGTACAATTATCCACACTCATAGTAAAATACCTTTTTGCAATTTATTGTTCGAATAGAATCATGGATGAAAGCACTCCGCAAACATCATCAAGCAATGCTGTTGACCAGACACGGCCACAAGGCAATGCTCCACGATCAAATAGGTTTGTTAAAATTTTTAGAGAATACAATTACAAAATATCGTTTCGTATGATCAAGTTAAAGTCATTTCAAAGCACTTGCACAATGATATAACCAAAATTCTTAATTTATCCATTTGAATTTTTTATTTCAAATAGTGAAAACTCAAACTTTCGTACAACTGGCAGCAATTCATCATCGGGTAGCAGTGGATATGGTGGAAAAGCGATATTATCAACAACAGCTGAAAAAGATATAAAGTATGCAAACGTCGCTCTTGAAAAAAGCGATGATGATGTTTGGATTAATCCATTTATTTTTTTCCTATTTTGCCAGCAGAACCATGGAAGACAGTACGTCTAAAACAGAGATTGCAAATGCTGTTGATTCAGCGTATTCACAAAGTAACAGTCGCTCATTGAGCAGGTATGTTTGTGTGTGAGAGTGCTTAATTGTAAAATTAGTTCCTTTTATAAAATGGTCCACTTGAATGTTTTCATTTAAAAAGTGAGAGTTCACAATGTCAAATGCGCGGAAGTAATTCATCGGGCAGCAGTGGATACGGTGGCAAGCAATCACAATCAATATCAGTGGCTCAAGCTGAAAATAGGTAATTAATTTTATGAAATCAATCCATTAAATATACACACGAAAACGGATCTTAAAGGAATAGCCGATTGAAATGAGCGCAGTCAACTTTATTCGTTTCAAATTAAAAACGTGTACTACACACAGTTAATACACAACAATTTGACAAGAATAAAAAAAATGTACACACGTTAAATCATTGCTATCAAGTTACATACGCTTGAAAGAAGAAACTCGTGTCTCGGTGCGAGACGACTATGATGAATCGCAACTTATTTCAAATAAAGCTCGAATAAAACAATTTTAGAAGTATGTATATATTTATATGTAGAGTTGTCATTTAATAAGAAGCACACGCTTCGAAAATAGTCACGACAAACGAATGTTTAACAACGTGATTACGGGTGGGCATGGATGTGAAACCAATGGAGATGATGGATCTAATTTTAGAGAGAAAATGCTTCCGATTCAATCAACATGTTGAAGTATATTTTGCAAACGACAAATAATAATGATCAAATGAAATTAAACAAAGAGATTATACTGGAATTTTTCTTTTATATAAGCATTTATCAGGCACGCAGACTTGTGGTAAATTTGCCGCTTTGCTTGCTGATTCCACTTTATTATCAAATGGGGCAACATGATTACGAAACGTATTTTCAGAAAAGCATTCAATCGCAATTGATTCTATTTTAAGAAAAGCCACCCCATGGCCCATGACTGCAAATGTTCATTGGATTTATCTTATTATTGTGCCATTTGTAACGCTTGTAAACTAGCTTGAATTCAAAATACGGTGAGAATAATATTGAAATCGAAAACAACATGAACATAAACTGCCGTAGCGATAAGCAAGGTTCTTTTATTCAGTGAAACTCTTGTGCACAATTACAGGTTATATAAATGCCATGATGGTGAACAATTCAATTCGATCTCATCTCCTTACATAACGTTGAATGCATTTTTTTTGTGCTTGTCGCAATATTTCTACTTGAATATACGTTTTAATATTGGACTAACGATTGGTGATTAAACCATAGAAATAAAATAATTAAATATTTAAATGCTATGCTACGTGATTTAGTTCTAATAAATCGCTCGCGTATATTTTAATTGTTTCATTGTTGGGAAAACTTTGAAGTGAAATTACCATACAAATCATAAATGTCTAATTTCTTGGTTAAATGAAACAAGGCATATATCTTATTTTTCACTTGATTTGATTGCAAACTGGGTGTTTCATAGTTACGAACTTTGTCAGATTTCTATACCCTTGATTCAATTAACGAACCATTTTAATTAGTATCCTTGCCGCGACTTAAAATAGCTAAAAAAAATAAACTGAAAATTGCCATCGCGACGTGGTTTCAACATTTCTACAGGATATATAGCAAAATTTTGCCATCTTTGACGTAGAAATAACAAGGCACGTGTTTTATTTAAATAATTCTACATTCTGTTGGACGGTTTAAGACGCAATTTTGATAATTCGGAATTTAAATATATGACTAAATATTAACGATTTAATTAAATGAGAATTCTGTTCGTCTTCTTTTTGCTCAAAGTGCGAGTAGCGGCAATAGTGCTGAGCTGACAACGATAAAAGAAATGAAACGTAGCAAAAATAAAGGACGAAAAAAGAAGGCGAAAACAAAACAAATACAGATTCGTCCAATCGAACCGGTCCAAGAAATAAAGTCACAACCAACCAACGACAAAGCTACGTCACCGGCATTCGAACCACAGACTACACTCACTTCAGGCACAAATAATCTAGAAGAAGTACCATCAAATACTGAAAATAAAATTAATCGGATCATTGAAATTGCGCCGGAAAAACAAACGACAGGTAAACACAATCGATATACTCATACAACAACTTTTGTTTCTCAACTGGTTTTTCTTTTACTTCATTTGAAAATTTAGAACCTGATTCTTTGCAGAAGGTATTCATTACATTTTTTAAATTAAATTTCGAAATAATAAAAAAAAGATTCTTTTCTCGTTACTGCAGGAAAAACCATGTGATAATAAACCAATTCAAGATACCATACCCTTGAATTCATCTGAATCAAATGAAGTCTCCGATCAAAATACAGATGAATTCAATTCGACTATGGATAAATCAGCCGGTTCACCAAATGATTTAGAGGTTGATAACATTTTATCACAAACTACCGATCATCGAACAGTCAATCCGAGTGTAAGTACTATATTTTTGCTTAGAAACCTTTCGGTCGCGTGGAGTGAAATCTATATATATAGTAATAGTTTGGAAGAATGCTTTTATATAATTAGCGATTAGAAAGCAATGCGTGAACAAAAGTGATCTTTTGTTTCAATATCTTTTTATAATAATAATAAATTCGGTTGCACATTGCCATTATTTGCATGGATATGTTTCATTCAATTGATAAATCAAAGCCATAAAATGAATAAGTCTATGATTTTACGTAATTTCAAGTTAATCCTAGAAATACTACAGTTTTTGACTTATATAAAATGGTTTATTTTAACATTTGCAGCAAGAAAGTTTTTGTTGTGCAATATCAATGCACGATGGCGTAATACTGTCCACAACGGCTAATCTTACCGATAGTCTTGGATTTCCAAAAGACATATGGCTGGGTCGGGCATTCATCGAATTTATTCATCCAAAAGATCGGTACGTCAACTTGCACCAATCACAAAATTTCTTCCAAAAACTCATTCAATGTAAAACAAATCAATAAGGTTTACCATTTTCTTCTAGGCCAACTTTTGCTAGTCAAATTACATCTAGCTACATTGATCATATTTCATTGAAAGAAGGCTATTTACGACAAAGTAGTTTCGAGAAAACTCCATTGTACGTACGACTGAGATGCTATCGTGGTTTCGATACATGTGGATTCGCTGTTAAAAATAAACCAATTTCCTACAAACCATTTAAGTTGATATTCCGTAAAGCACCTGAAATGCCGTCGAGTTCTGTTTCAGCATCGGATGATAATTATGGTCTTCGCATCATTTGTGCCATTGCATTGTCCACCATCTACAAAGGTTTGTTTTAAAAAATTCATAGTTTTGATTTCATCCTACGATTGCAACCTCTTTGCAACAAAAAAGTGTCGTAAATTTAATAAATGCACAATTTCATTTCATAAAACAAAACAAAAATCACCATAGTTCCCGATGAAGCCATGAAAAATCAGAATGCGAAATTTTCCACACGTCACACGGCTGCTGGTATTTTAGTCCACATCGATGGCTGTTCAGTGGCTGCAGTTGGTTATATGCCACAAGATATTATCGGAAAATCAATTTTGGATTTTTTTCACCCAGAAGATATGATACTATTGAAAACGGCTTACGAAATGCTTATGAAAAATACAAAAGTGTCGGATGGACGTGTATCGGCGCCTCCATATCGTTTTCTTATCAAAAACGGAAGCTACATCACATTGGAAACGGAATGGACAAGAGTTTTTAATCCATGGTCGAGAAAACTGGAATTTGTAACTGGGGATCATTGCGTATCAAGAGGTAGATAGTATTTTTTTAAATAGCATTGCAAGTACTTACTTTTACATTTTACTTCTTCCTTCATTTTTCTTCATCGTATTCGTTTTATTCAAAGTTTTTATTGGATTTTACATTTTAAACAGGTCCAAAGTACTGTGATATATTCACAAAAACCGGAAAGTATGCGTGCAAATTTCCCAACGACATTTTGGAAAAAGCAGTCAAATTGAAAGTAGAATTACTCAAGTTATTGTCAGAGCCGGTGCCATATCCATCGGATAGTGTTAAACAACAGGTGTCAAAGCGTTGTCAAGCGTTGGCCCATTTCATGGAGAGTTTATTGATTGGCGTCAAAAAGCAAGAGTTAAAATTGGATTTGGAAATGGAATGCGATGCGGCCGCATCTGAACATGGATCAGTAATGCTTGGCGAAATTTCACCACATCATCATAGTAATCATGACGATAGCAAAACTTCATCAGAAACACCGCCGACCTACAATCAACTGAATTACTTTGAAAATCTAAATCGTTTTTTCAACAGTGTTCAACCGACATTCGTACCGAACGAATTTAAATCGCTTCCATATCAGATTGATCATGTGCCAATGAATGAAAAAGATCGAATGCTAAGTCCGATTCAACAATGTGGCGAAGAAAGTGGTGGTTCATTTAATTCGAGCAGCGACAGCCCACAATATGAAAGCACAAATACCAGCAACACCAGTAACAATGAAACAAATAAAAAAAATGTGGCGGAGCTGACCGAAGCGCTAGTTTCACGCCACACCGACCAAATGGAAGTGCAAATGGTAAAAAATCATAAAAAGTATCGCACCCGAATTATTGATAAGAAAAAAGCACCAGACAAATGCACTAGTCCGGCAACACGAAATCAACCGATTAAACGTAGCTGGCCAAACGATTCGGGAAACGAAATGACGAAAAATTCAAAGTCACAAAATCAGCATGAACATCGATACCCATCGAATGGGACAGCCAAAAACGCACAAAACGATGAATCAAAAGCACAAACGAAAAAACTAGAAAATTCCAATAATGATAAGCGATCGAGTACAAATCATGCAATTGGTAACAAAGTGCAAGCCGTTCATTTATGGCCCCCATTTTCGGTGAATGCCTCAACCACTCAAAATAGCGTTCTAACCAATACTATGCCGAAAAGTTACAATCAATTTTTACTTTCGAATCATTTCTCCACACCGCGATATTATATGTCACCGATAAATTCGAATGGCATTTTAAAATCGGAACCGGTAATTTTTTATTTTTATTTTCTTTTTGTTTCAAAGAAATGCATGTGATAAAACTTAAAGTGAAATCAAATTGAAATTATTTTTATTTTTGAAGAAATTAAATGACAACGTGGCTGAAAATGTGAAATTTCAACCGAATGGAAGTTCGACCAATTTACCGAATCCGTATGCACTTAACTATATGAAAAATTCAATGCATCAGTCACGACCGTTTGTCCATCAAAATATGACTTATCCATATGCACCGACTGGATACCAACCACTGCTCATGCCACAAGTTTGTATTTTTTTATTCAATTATATCGCTTTTTTCACACTCACAAGCTATTTTCACATTGATTGACATGAGTATTCTTTAAAATGACTAATTAAATTGTTTTTATTCGATGCGCGTGTTTGATTCAATCCAAATCATTCGATCGAGCCTTATTTAATTGTTCTTTTAGAAAATGATTACCACAACACAGGCTGGTGACGAAACCAATGTTTCGCTAACACCATCAACATCGCATCATGCCATTTGGAAAATGCCCAATCAACAACCGAACATGGCAAGTATTTATATCGAAAAGTTATATGCTCTTTGACTGTGCAATTCATTTTTATTGTATTGTTGCCTTTTTATTTGTCTTCTTTCCATTGCGTTTACAATGGAGATTAGGTGCTATATAATAACATTGAAAATGTCGAACCGGTTAATTTGTCGACAAACACCGGCGAAAAGACACCAAAATTATTGGTTAAACCATGGGCAAATGTAATTATTGACATTATTCAGAAAAATACTTTCGTTATTTCAATTGAATTTCAAATATGGCTACTATTCTAGATGAAAGAGGTCAACAACGAAGAGTTGGATGCATCGAATTCTAGTTTTAGCTCAAGCTTTTTCGATTCACAACATCGCACCGATGAATCATGGGAGTCGGATAAAACGTCGAAGGTAATTTTTTGAATATTTTTCTTTAATGACTTATTATTGCGTATGATTTCAAATAGGACGACACAATGGCCGCCAGTAAAGAAAATCAAACAACCGATGAGTTTGAAAAATGTGCGAAGACTTCGTCACTTCCATACTGGATGAAAAATATCGAAGTGACGCCCGATCTCATCTTCAGATATCAACTGAGAGCCAGAGAACTCGAAGACACACTGCAGGCAGATATGCGAGTTCTGAAAGATATAAATCAGGTAAAATACAATAATAAAATAAATTTTAATGGTAACATTTTTATCAAAAAATGAATTGTTTTGATTTCAGCCGGGCATGGTGAACGAGCAGTTGGATCAATTGTATTTTGAATTGGATTTGGAAAATCAAGGCAAAGTAGCCACAATAGCTCTAGGCGATACACCCAGCAACAGCAGTGAAGACGAAGAAAATATGTCGAAAAATCGAAAAAATACTCATTTCAGTCAAATGTCTTTGATATACGAAGAAAATGCACCACTTGAGATGTGAATTTTTCTCCCACACAGTTGCATTAAGTAATTCAGATTATATTAATTTTATAAAATTATATATTGTTGGTGTTAAACAATTTTTAAGGATAGAATAGGATTTACAACAGTAATGTGCGACCAAATTTTTTTTGGGGGGGTTGATTTTGGAAAAAAAGGGTTTTTGACTCCACTCTATAGAGAAAAAATTGACTTCCAAAAAAAAAACATCTCAAAAATCCTTAGCAAATTGAAATATTTTTCGCTTGGCTAAAAACCGTAGCAAATCTGAAGATTTTCTCTCATAAAAACAAATAAAATCTAAAAAAGAAGCTCTTCCAAAATCCCTGCCAAAGAAATTAGCGAAAAATGTTTCGAATCGAAATCACCCCTTCGCACATTACTGATATACAAGGTTTATATAATAATTTTTCGTTTACTCTTTTTCATACGTAGCTTCGGAAGTTGACAAACCAAAAGGGCTAGTTTTCAATACTTCGAAATTTTTAAGGGGACAGTTTCGTCTCATTGCAAATGTAAAGAGCATGTTATATTGCTCAAAAGTGCAATTTTTCGAAGGGCCAATTTCAAATCCGTTTTTCAACGAGTGGCTAATCGGACCTTTTGAACCCCTAGCAAATAGAGGTAAATGCTCTGATTTTTTTTTCTCAAATAACCATTGTGCATCTGAACCTAAACTGACCGCAAGTGTAGACTACTCGGTGCAGCAGGCATATAGCGTTTCCAGACTTTGTCCCTGGCCAAAAGCTATGACTACTCTTTCTAAGTTTTCCAAAAAGTAATAGTTTCATCTTCATACAAGATGATTTAACTTTTTGTATAATATCAATAGAATAGAGTTTTACGAATCGATTACCTGTCAATATATGGTGCTTTATAAATGATTAATCTTTATTTTGCTTTTTCTGAGGCACATTTCATTTTGTCTTCTTCAATGGTTTGTGTTTTATTGTTGATACAAGTGATATGAAGCTCATATTGTTCATTTTTTTTCCCTCAATTTTTTATCAACAAAAGAAAAAAGAATATTTTTTCATTATTATTTATTTGAATTGTTGTAGTCGAATATCTTTTAGGAATAAGTAAATGAATATTTTTTTGAATATTACAAAACATAAACAAATAAAAGGATAATTTGTCATTAATTTGCATTTTTTGATATTTTTTTAAAACTTAACGTCGTTTCAAACTCGCTAAGAGTTTTCTCTGTTTTGTTGAACCCTGCACAATATACGATTGACTTTGACAGTTGTGTGAAGTGTCAAATTTAGCGCAATTTTCTTCTTCAGTTTTGTTGTGTATGAATATTCGTTTGAAACAATTTTTCCAGGAGTAAAAATGAATCGAAATTTGTGGCAAAAATTAAAATGCACTCAAGGCGAATTACAATTGAAAGCAACGCTCACAGGTAAAAATTAGAAGCTCATCGACGTTTCTTACAATTTTTAAGTGTTTTATTTTGTTTTCTCCCTCTCTGCATCCGATGTTTTTGTCTCTGTTTTGATGGTTGGTAATATATGACAATGGAAAAAGGCGGACAAAGTTTTCGGTATTTTTTTTTCAGTAACATAGTCTTCTTCACATTTAAATAAAATTATAATAATGACAATTTTTTAGATGGAAAATCGGAAGTCTGCCAGACGACAATTTCACCGATGAATCTTACATCGGCGTGATGTCCAATTGTGTTTGGCAATTGCGACAAATGAATGATCATCTATTGTACCGCGTTTTGGGTGAATTAAAAACCGACTCACCGAATTACTACCATCAAATTCGAATGAAAATCCCAATTCCAGTGGTCAAGAAAAAGAATGTAAAGAATCTTTTCCATAGTATCGACTACTATGAATCATTGCTAAAGGCATATTTTCGATTGGATACTGATCTGAGTGAATGTTATGCCGAATGGTCATCGGCACACCAACATTTCAAAACTGAGTCAAATAAGTTTTATGCGATTCGTCAGCTCAATCAAGATCCCGTTGAAAACTTATTTTCATTCATTTGTAGTCAAAACAATCACATTTCACGGTACGCAAATCTGAGTTCATTTTAAAACACAACCAATTTTTTGACTTTTTACATTCATCCACAGCATTTCGAGTTTGGTTGAAAAATTGTGCAAAAATTATGGACCAAAAATATGTGATCTGAATGGTGTTGCCTATCATGCATTTCCAAATTTTGATGAATTGACTGATCCAAAGGTTTGATAATGATTTTCATATTTAAATAAAAACATTGATTCGAAATTTAACATTTGAATTAGGTGGAACAAGAGCTACGAAATGAATCATTCGGTTATCGGGCAAAGTTTATTCAACGTGCCGCTGTTGAAATCAAAGAAAGAGGCGGTTTGGAATGGTTTCAAAAAGTACAAGATATGTCTTATAAAGATGCACACGCAGAACTGATGAAATTGACTGGCATTGGACCAAAGGTAAAAATTTGCTGTAAATATCACAACACTGACAACAATTTCTAAAACAAAATTTAAATTTTAGGTGGCCGATTGCATTTGTTTGATGTCATTGAACCATTTGGAAGCTATTCCCGTTGACACCCACATTTTGAACATTGCCACCGAACATTATTTGCCCAAAGGACGCGAAATTAAATCGATGACACCAAAATTATACAATGAAATCGGTAATGCTTTTCGAGAAGTGTACGGACCGCTAAGTGGATGGGCACAGACCATTTTATTTTGCGCCGATTTGGTTAAATTCAAAGACAACGAATCAAAGGAAAATGGATGCTCAACGAATAAGAAAAGAAAGAAGAAATAGAATACTTTGTTTTGTAGAACATTCGTTTTATTTCAAATTCAAGTGATAGAAAAAACTTTCCATGACATTTCAAATAAATCAATGTTGCTAAGCGACACAAAATTTAGCTGCTTTTTCTATGCGTATATAATTGATCAATCATTTCATCAGTTAGAGGTGGGATATTTTGGCGCGGAATAAGGAAGGTCGATAAATTGAATAAATCGAGAAACACCTTATAGCGATCGCTGAGTGTAGAGCGCAAGTATTGATAACCAGACGACCCGCCTAATAATATAAGCAATAAGTAATGAAAAGAAATAATTTAATAAAGGATATATGATCAATATTCACCTGTGCCCAATTGTTGCGATCCGATCATTCTTTGCACCATCATGACATGCGAATCTGTAAAATTACATAAGTATAATATCAGAAAATAGACCGGGCGATCAATGTAGAAAATCGAAATGAAGGTAAGAATCACACTTACAACGCCACTTCGTCATAAATGAGTCGATGTCCATCAAACAGGTTAACACTTGATGCGGTTGACTGAATCGTGGCTCGTCGCGATAAAGTGTTATCATAATAGCCCCCTGCATGGCTTTATACGAGAACTTACGTTCGCCGCGTGAAACCAACGCCTCATGAGCATCTTGATTGAAAATTGTATGATACACATCACGTCGCTTATTGACGTCCATCAATCGATAGTTGCGCAAAAATTCATCGGTTAGGGCCTATTCGAAGAAACACATTTTTGGAATTCAATACAAAATGTTAAGCTCTATAATGTATTACATTAAACGTACTGACTAACACTAACTTTTGCCTTATTCTCATCCTCGTTAAGCAAATCATTAACATTCTTCTGAAATTTTTGCCAAAAATTAAATCCATCTTCTTCAAGTCCTGGCGTCCTGTAATTTCAAAATGAGCTACATGACTCTTGTTCGTTTTATCTTATTTATTTATTTTTCGTGAACGCTTTAAATACCTTTCAAGCCATTTTTGTACTAAATCGCACAATGATGGTTCCGTTTCGGATTTAATGATTAAATCAACTGCATTCGAATCGCCACCAAATACATCTTGGTATCGTTGATTGTATTTAACCCGATTTTCTTGCTTCACACCCAATTTATTTTCCATCAAACGAAATTGAAGACTTTGAAAACCAGACGCCGGCGATAAATAATCGCGAAAGTCCATGAAGTCAAGCCTAGAAATAAGTGAATTTTCACGTAAATCAATCAAATAATATCGAAAGTAAAATGGACCTACGGCGTCATCGTCTCAAGTATTGGAATATGATCCACGAGCAACTGTAAACATTGATTGTAATGTGAGAAATATGATTTGAGATTAGAAATTGAATGTTTGGAGTATCATGTGCATATTTACGGCTTCGACTTAGTACTTTTAAGAATGAGAAAAAAAACTCGAATTGATAAGAACAACATAATTACAATGCTATTACACGCTTGCTGCGAAATGGCTTCAATTCATAATATGCTGGAATTTGTGATTTCAATCAAAAAATATGCGGTATCAAACCACAAACGACTTGATCGAATCATTTCTAATTTACTTGCTTAACATAACCACCGTATGTAATGCAGAAGACCCGTATTATGTTTTACCACAATATTATTAGTATAAAGACACCGCGTAACATAATGTATTATTTACACAAAATTAAATTAAGAAATCCGTGTCAGGGACCGGTTCGCGCATATTTCTATGCAAGATAGCTATGCCATTCGATTCGAGCTATATCTTATGCGTACGTCTCTCAAAGCACGGCCGCCTGCATACACGAACATGTGTATGTTCATACAGAGTGGACGGCGATACGTCGGTTGCATTTGCCGCTATGCTTGTCATATCTATGCTACCTAGCGTATCTAGCAGTGACCGGTTCGCGCATATTTCTATGCCTGATAGCTATGCTAAGCATAGCGGAGACGCAAGCCGCAACGCACCCGTCACCATTCGATTCGAGCTATATTGTATGCATAATATGCACGGTCGTCTGCATAAACGAACATGTGTATTGTTCATATAGAGTGAACGGCGATGCGTCGGTTGCGTTTGCGGCTATGCTTAGCATATCTATGCTACCTAGCGTATTTAGGCAAGCATAGAAATATGCGCGAACCGGTCACTGGTATCTAGGCAAGCATGGAAATATGCACGAACCGGTCCTTGATCCGTGTACGATTGATAATTCATTACCTTGAGAATGATGGCAATTCTATTGAGTCGCTTTAAAATTTCCAATGTTCGTGATTCATCGACGGCATACACATTGAACAAATCTCGAATTGAATCGACTTCAAAAATGATTTGTTTAAACCAGAGCTCATAAGCTTGAATGTGAAAACATGTAATGTGTTATGGTTTTGTTTTAAATATAAAACGCATTATTTAATACCTTGGTGCGTGATAATGAATAAGTGCTCGTCATGTACGGGTCGATTGCTTTCAGCCGATTGCATTCGTTGTGCATTGATAATTTTTTCAAGCATCAAGTAATCGCCATAAAGCATGCCCGTTTCTGCACCAAGCACTTCACCTTTTTGCGCATTATCACCATTTCTATTTGAATGAAAATAATTAATAAAATTAACGTTAATTTCTTAATTTATTGATTGTGTGCAAGGATCAAGTAAAATAAACTGTTTTAAAAATTAAAGATTCCAATTCAAAACCGCTTTAAACAATAAATCATTGAACGATGACGGAAATTTACACCACATTTTAAATGACATTTGACCCGCACACTATCTTTTCAAACACTCAATGTATGCCACAAACTTATTTTTATTTCTACTGAAACTAAAATTTAAACTAAATTGAAATCTAACGTCAATATAGATGCTGAAGAATACGGACAGCTCATTTTCTTTTCTTTTTTCTTAACACAAATCTATCGCAGAAGCCAAAAACGATTCGTGTGTTTTCGTTGCGCGCTTCAAATCAACTGAGATAGTACAACGAATATTTTCTTGTTATTGTAAATGTTTTTCCAATACTTACAGTTCGCATACATACGCAGGCTTCATTCACGTTTCCAGTGTTTGATATGTGTTAAAATATTCAATCGAATGATTGACATGATTTCCGTCACAAATCGTGTAATATTCAGAGTGAAAAAAAAGACGACACGAATATAGCTTCCAATTTTTCTTTATTTAAATCAAGTTAGTGCATTGGAAAATTTACAATAAACACAACACAAAACGCTATACAAGGATTGCGAATAAATTCAAAATAGATTTTCGTTAGACTCTTTCATAGTTTTTGTGAATTTGATGTCCGATTGGAATTGCACATTTTTTTTGTTTGTTCTGTTACGTGTGGACTCATTTTGATTACATTAAATATATCTCAATTGTTCGATCGTCGATGTCTTTTTTCTTGGTTCATATCGCTTCATATACACATATATTGATGTTGTATTCTTCATCTAGTAGCTAAGTATAGTTAGAGCATCAGTTGATCAATCCACTACATTCCCTACATATTATTATCTTTCACAATATTGTTTTTATTTACTAACAGTTCAGCCACTTTGTGGATCGTGTGTGTGTATATGTTGTGTATGTGTGTGTGAGTTTGAAGTATTCAGCACGTTGCTAAAAATGGTTCGTCTATTTCTTTCTCATAAGACTTTGATGCATAAATTAAAATCTCTCTACATATAGTTTTGTTTTTGTTCTGACCTATATTTTGCAAGTAAATTACATAGGATGAAAATTTTAAGCGATTTCAAATGAAATAACGTTTTGAAGTCAAGATTAAATACATATTGTTCATCAAGTTGCTTGCGTTTCTCATTTTCAATTTTATTGACTCTCCATTGCTATGCACTCATACCGAGCGTGCAGAATATGATGCAAGTAAATTTTCTTTAAACAAACTTAAAAAAAAAAGAACTCAACTACTTTTCTGCTGCTGCCGTATAATAATTTTTGTTCTCTGCGATTTATTCTCTTTTTTTTTCTCTATCTCGAATTATAACATTTTTTTATATCGAAATGATGCTATTTGCAAACATTATTATATATATATCATATGATTTAAACTAAGCGATTCACCGTCGACGGCGACAAAGTGTGTGTTAATTTGTTCTTTTTCTCTCAGTTGCCGCTGCGGCTCTCATGCATAATACTTTGAACATAAATCAATATTTAAATATATTTATAATATATATATATATAGAGAGAGAGATTTTCTCCTTTTATATTTATACTCTACAAACTCTCTTTTTTCTGCTCTGAAGTTATCTCATCTCATGAACTGTATGAATAGAATTTATTTAATTTTCTTTGTAAATAATGATCAGAATTCCTCTTTTGTTTTTTATACATATATAATATATAGTAGAATAGAATCTATGTAGTTTGTTTTGTATTTTTTTTCTAATCTGTTTCAATCGATGCCATAATTTATTGTTGCTTGCTTATTTGTTATTACGCCAAACACATTTAAAATGCTCCAAACGGATCCAGTTGTACATTATTGGCTTTCCCATTTTGATGGTCAGTTGACACGGCACTCGTTTGTTGTGGAATGATGAATGGTTGTTGTTGAGCCATATTCATTGGCATCATTCCAGGTTGCGCCCCGGCCATCATCGGTTGACGCATTGGCATCCCTTGCTAACGATTCAAACACGAAAAAAAAAACAAAAAGAAACAAGAAAAAAACAATTAATTAAGATCATAAATTTGATGTGTGTTCATACATCGGATGGATAATGTTTGCTCAATGTTGAGATAAACCTTTCGAATAAATTGGAACATTTTCATTCGTCTTTAAAGTTGCATTTCTTATTTTTAAAATAATATTTAAAAAAAAATAAATAAACGAACCAAAATATGTCTGTTTATAAATAAGGAACAGATTTTCTTAATAAAAGGACCGAAACCAAATATATATTCTTTCATTTTCTCAAGTGTCATTAAATATATTCGAAAGTGTGACTATTCACTACGAATATTGCTTTTTAAATAATTCAATAATAATTTGAATAAAAGAAAAGAAACATGGATGAAAGGGGGTAGAGACAGCGAGATTTTAATGGTTAGATGGTGTCTACAGTTTGCATTGAATGATTATTCTTCTTACCTGTTGTAGGTATTGCGTCATTGCAGAATTGTAAGCATGTACAAATGGATAATGTACAGTGCTTGGAGCTGGACTTACAGTACCTTGCGCCTATTTATTTTTTATTTTTTTTATTTCGTATTAGCCGATTAAATAGTTTTTTTTTTTAACGTGAGTGCATATTTTGGTTTTATATGTGGTTATCGCGTTTTTATATTGTGTGTGTTGTTTTACAAAAAAAGGAAGAAAATAAATGAAAAAAAAAATAAACATAAAATTCACAACTAAAAAAAAATTTCAAAAAAAAACATTCAAATAAAAAAAAATTCTTTAAAAACAAACAATGAAAATCTAACAGATAAAAAACCAAATCAAGTCAAACGATTAACAAAATAAAAGGTTTTTAGTAGGCGAAAATAAGGTTGTATAGATATTATTAAGACCGACCCGTTTGTGTATTTGTGGATAATGTGCAAGCATTTTAAATATTAATTGTTTAAACAAGAAGACATTGGCGCAAAATGAAATGAGAATGATTCATGCTATTCGCTCAGCGAGAGCAACTATTTCTTTCTTTTTTTCTGATTTTGTTAAATTTTATCAAATTATTACTACGTCATTCATGAAAACCTGGCAAAAAAGCGCTAGAAATGTTGATTTTTTTATTGGAAGAGAACGCATCAATGAAAAGCAATGAAAAAAATCAATTTGCTGTAGCAAACAAATGAATTTTGATGACACTGACGATACAAAACACATATTGTCATGCAATTGCTTATATTTTGTAATAATGATTAGTTGAATGATAAAAAAATGATTCAGCGCTTTGTATTAGGTATTTAAAATGTAATGTTACCTATTAAACACATCAAAAATGAACGTTGCAAGCAAAAAGAATGTTATTTTTTTTTTTATTTAAAAATTGTCTAAAAATAGATTTAATGAATCCAATGAGTTGAAATTTGCTAAAAGACGCAAATGTGTAGCATTTCAATCGTGAATGTATCAAACACGAATATATGAACAAATATAACCACTAATTCATTGACTAGAATCTAAGGTACTTCCTTTCAATGTGTATATAGAGATTGCGCTTCGAATGTCTTCATTCACTTTTCGACCACTATAAAAATGGGTGAGTTCCATACACAATAATAAATGGGCGAATGAATGATTTAAAAAAAATGATAAAAGTGGATAAAATGATACAAACTGATAGAAAAAAAATGTCAATATTTTTGCTATTCTGATTGGTTGACGGGATAAATTGACGTTGAACATAAAATGAAATAAAAAATATCGATAAAACTTGAAATCCATCAGCGAAGTAATCATTTTTTGCACTTTTACTAGAGATTTTTTTGATGTATTTGGTCAATTTTTTATGTACATGATTCCAAAGAAGAAAAAATGTTAGGAAAAAAAAGTAGAACAGTGAAGCCAAATGAGTATATTGCACACAAAATAGATTGAATTATTGAACATTGAATGTATAAAAATGTATATTCTTACCATTGGACGATAGTTTGTATTGGTTGTGGCAGCCATTGGTTGCGGTGACCATCCGGTTGAGCCGGGTTTGGCCGTATTTTTTGGTGAATTCCATTGACTTTTGTTCATCGTTAAATTTTCCGCTAGCGATGCCAACGAACTATCCAAATCGCCTGTAAGTACTTTTCCAGTTGAATTTGATTGTGGTGCTTGGCCAGCCGTCTGTGATTGTTGACCTGTTGATGAAACAGAACCGTTTGTTGTTGACGCAGACAAAGCAGAAGCTGGTTTCAAAACATCACCCAATGCGTCAAAACCTTTTTTTGTTTGTTTGTTTTTTCCAAAGTGTTTGTTGTTGTTGTTTTTGATGTGCGATTGTGTAAATGTGTGTGTGTGTTTGTGTTTGTTGTTCATAAATTGTGTGAAATGGTCATGTATGTAGTTTTTATCCCCAAAATATTAGTAGTGTTTTGAGTTCGGGATAACAATTCGTGTGTGTGTGTGTTGGATTTTTTTTAGTAATTTGGTTAATAAAATCCCCATCCGTAAGTGTAAGTTGAATAAAAATGAGAAAAAAATATTCAATAAAAAATGGAAAAAAAAGAGAGAAAGAAGAAAAATAAAAAAATAAGAAAACAAATAAGAAAATGAGTTAGTTACATAGAAATGATGATATGACACAAAAACAATTACACAAACATTTAATCTTAAACTAAAATGTTTGGAACAATAAAAAAAACGAACATACTGCAACCCACATAAAATGAATAACAAAAAATCTATGAAATTAATGATACAACCCCATAATGTTGAAATTCAGTTTCGATGAATCAGATATTAACTAATTCTTAACAGACCTGGGCGCATATACAATACCAGTAGCTGGGTGATAGCAACAATTGGTTATATAACGCCGCAAGTCTATCACTTATTTTAATTATCAAGTTATATGGACGGATTTAACAGGATACAAAAACATCACGGGATATGAAAGAGTAATGAGTTTTAAATGTAAAATAAATTTTATTAAATATATGTATGACTATGATCACTTTTTCGCTTATTCATCGGAACGTAAGCGATTCCAAAATACAAGATAAGCAGAAACACATTTTTGAACTGAATTCGTCATGGGATAAGCATATGAAAGCATTTTAAGAAAACAGAAAAACAATATTTAAAACAGCGAAGAAAACTCATGATAAACACAATATGGGGGACATAACATATAAAAAGAAAAGGAACGAAAAATTACGTTGAAAATTCGATAAAAAATGAAAATTGTTTCTTTGGTGCCGTAGTACATTCGGTTTTGATTGCAGTGCTGAATGCATTGGACATTATTCATATTTTACTCAAGTGTATTTGCATTATATACCATTAAATAATACGCTTTAAAATTGACTTTAGACATAAGGCAACTGTACAACGTAAATTACGAATTGAAAAAAAAAAAACGAACAATTTGGACACAAATTTCCATTCACTTCATTCGAAAAGTTTTGAAAGTTTTTTGTGCAGTTCACATTCCGTGAATTGTACCACAAAAGGCTTTCAATTCAAAATGATGGAAAATATATTGAAAATTCCAATGGAAAAGATCAGTTCTGGAGTTTTTTTTTCTATTCGTAAAATTTTCCTTGGCATATTTTCATTGTCAGACACACATAAATTTCACGACAATGGTAATTGGTTCGATGAAGGTGACGACTCTATTTTGTGCACACATAAACCATCGCAACCAATTCATCTTATTAAATAAATCATATCAACAAGATGAACTGGCTGCGGTTTTTCACAACTATTTTGCTAAATCACCTGCTGGAGCAATTGGTTCCGATAGAAATGGATTCGGTAAAGTCTCTTCTATTGTTTTAATTCAGTCCAAGGGAGAGAGGTAAATGGCACCCCAGATACGGCACAAAAATAACACAAATAAAATTAGATAATTTATTTTGAGAAAATCAAAATTAAAAGCACGCTCGTTTCATTAAAAAAATGAAATCAAAATATGGGGGTCTACAATAAATCTATTATCTACACATATTCAATATTTAATATTTTGACTAAAACTAGTATAACATACTAGTATGTTATATGGCTCAACAAAAGAGTCGGACGTTTTTTTAAAAAACTAAATCCAAATATTTCGCAAAAGTAAATGCAATGAGGTGGCTTGAATACGAAGAAGTTTCATTTTAAAATGCTTTTTAACTATGATTATCCCGATCATCCGGTTTACATTGCGACTCAAATCGATTTAAAGAATAAAAAATATCGTTGGATCATTTGAAATGAAGAAAACTTTTCCAATTCACATAATTGGGTTGGGATAGTGAAATTCGGGAGAATTACATGCAAAAATTCAAATCATTCACATTGCTCGCCGTATGATATGTATATGCGTTCACTGCTCGGAACACATTTGCATAATCAATGCAAATGTATTTTGTTTTCACATATACAAATTACGAGTCTAATGGATTGCGTTGAATTGATAAGCAGGTTATTTGAATGTTAAACGGTTTGAACGGGATTTGAATGTTAAGCGGATAAAAATCAATTGAATTTTAGTTTTTATCTGTACAGTGCACACCCTTTTTTGTGTAATTTAACAGATTTTTTTTAGTAATGTGTGCATACGAATGAATTTCGTAAGAGGAATTGCATCAGAAATAAAATTAAAAAAAAAAACCATATCATTGAAATGAAGAGTGTTGAATGGCTGATCTTACCAACTGGTTCACTGGCACCAAATACCGATGAGAAATTACTGTCCGACACAAATGCATTGCTTTGTGGTGCAGGAGCTAAATTCAATGAAAAAATTTACGAAATGAGTTTGAAATCCATTTTTCAACTTTCTTTTATTTTGATAGTTACCAACAAGTGGCTGAGCTGGAGGAGCTGGAGCCGGACTACCAAACATATCTGCAAATGGATTTCCTAATTGCAACAGATCATCGGATGCCTTTGAATTTGGTGGCACGGCGGAAGCTGCGGTTGGACCAAACAAATCAACAATATTTCCTACACTTGTTGGCGATGACAAAAATGGATTATTCGCTGCTGCTGATGCGCCTCCAGTTGGTGATATTACTTTCGTTTGCTATTTCAAAATGGTTTAAAAGAATATTTAACAAATATTCAATATATTTATACTCGGAATAAATAAAAAAAATCAATTCTGACTACTTTGTATTGATTCATGGCGGCTTCTTCTTCGGCAAGAGCTTGTTGTTTGATTGATTCATCGATACCATTTGAATATTGATCGTTACGAGTGGATGCGGATGCACCAAACGCAGCGCTAAAATTTGAAGGAAAACAAATGAAATGTTTTTGATGAAAAAAAAAAGTCAAGAGATATTACCCAGATGATTGTGTTGGTGTATTTGCAGCGGATGTTTTTCGACCTTCTAATGTAGCCAGATGACCCTCAAGTGCATCAAGCAATGAACTTGGTGCCTTAGTTAAATCTGGAATATCTCCCTTATCAATGCCGACATTCTACAACGGAAATCGTTCGTTTTTCTTGTTTTAATTTCATTGAATTCATATTGAATGTGGGGTAAAGTGTAATTGTATTGAAGTATTTACCTCAGCCACTTTAAGAAATTCACCAACACGATCCATTCGCACCAAAAATCGTTTATACAAATCCAATGCGTCTTTACATTGCTTTTTGTTCATATCGAAGTACTTTTCCAGTAAATTAATGATACCATCATTGTAGCATGCAAACAAACGGATCAAGTCACGAAACAGAAGCATGAAGCACATGTTTATCACACCTGAAACCATTGCAAAAAAAGCGCATATTTATTATAATATCTCGTCTAACATGCCAAGGTGTGTGTGTGTGTTTTCCCTGACGTGTAACTTACCATTAGAGAGATCATTGGCCTGGCAGTCAAACTCAAGCAGACCGTCCAATTGTGACTGTAGCACTGGTAATGTTTTCAACAATTTATCTGCATTCATGGTACGTAATGAGCCTTCTTCCTTTCCCCGTTTCACCTTACAAAAGTCGAATGCCACGGTGCGATACGACAATGCCTTATCGTTCAGGTATTTTGCATAGCGTCGAATGAACGGTGACATATCATAGCCTTGAATATGTGTGTGAGAGAACAAAAAAAATCAATAAAATTATTAATTAATCAAAAGTTTTTGGGCTAAAATGATTAATAGCCAACATAAAATATTAATTGTGAAACATATAAAACTAATCATAATTTCGTAAATAAAGTTGTGAACGAAAATGGGCGGAATTCCCAATGGGAAGGTTAGTATCGCCAATCGTAATTAAAATAATAATAAAATACCAAAACGAAAAAAAAATAGGTTTAGGTAAAATATATATGTCCACTTACCAATCCTTGCACCGACGGTGCCTATTGCGTCAAGGTATTGTATTTGGTTATTGGTTTTGATAATAATTGACGCATTTTTTTAGATGGAAAAAGCCAGGTTGTTAGTTGCATGAAAAAGAATTACAATTTTACGTAGCAAATTAAAGAGATTATTTACACGGTTTAGTAGATTGAATTTCATTTCAAATATCGAAATAATTGTTAAGCTGATGTGTTAAACTGCTACCATTGGGAAGCATTTCTAAATTAATTAGTTCAACGTTATTTCAAAGCAAGTTAGTTTTCGTAATAAAGATACGAAAATGAAAACAACGGTATTTGAAATTGCACATAAAACATACCTTGAACGCCACCTTTATCCAGGAAATTGCTTAAATTAAACGTGGAATTACTTGACGCTAAGTATTGCATAAATCTCTGTAAATAGACGTAAATAAAATGTGGTGTATTACAAAAGTGTGCATCTTTTGGGTGTTTTTCCTATGTTTTTGTATTTTTAGAAGAATTTACCTCATTTCCATATGCTAAAAGATGATGTACGGTGAGTAATGATTTGTAGACGACCACCCAATTCGCATTTTGTGTTCGTTCCACCAACAAATTGGCCAATTGTGGTATTGATACATTTGGTTCATTTGTACAGTGCACTAAATCTGTGGAAAAATTTGTAATGAAGTCAATGTCATTTAGAAATTGTCGACTAAACAAAAACATGTCGCATTATTTTATTTATGTAAACATATGTATAATTTGATCCGTTGTAAATGAAATATTCTCTCTCTCTCTGCCTCTCGTGCTTTTATTATATGTTATTTGTTTTCAATTTTATTCGAGAGCAAACGCTATCACAAGACATAGAAAGGGCTTTCTAGGCGTAGAAAGGTTTCGTATCATTTTTTTTGTGTGGCAGTATTGATTACAGGGTTTTGGCTACGAATGTAAATTAACAGCTGTTGCAAAAAAACCTCTTGATTATCACATGACATAATGGTTGGAATTTTGTTAATTTTAAAACACTTGTCATTCCAAAATCACATGTATATGAACCATTTTGCTATAACGCCCACACATCGATAGCTGCATCATTTTTACACAGATGAATTCTGTTACTCGATCTTGTTTCCATCCGGAATGGATTTCCGACCCTTTTAATCTCAAACAAATGACAATGATATTCATGGCATTCTCCACATTCTTATCTCATGTTCAATGTTACAATTTTCAAACTAAGAAGTAAACATTTGTTACATTGATGAGAATAATTTAATACTATTGACTAACTCTCACTCATTGATAGCTGATATTACATTCTTTCCGTCTTGAATAAGGTTGATGACTTGTTGATCGACAAAGTATTTCTGGTCTACTTTTGACGTTATATCATTTTTTTTATTATTGTCTGCAGCATCTGTTCGATTAAGTGCTAATAAAATATTCAAGTGTACATGAAAATTCATTGTAATCCATTTGGCATTAAATTTTAAAGAGCGAATTCGATTTTTGCGCGAGAAACAAAAATAAAACAAATGGCAAAGAAATAGATATCCGATGTAAGTAGACTTTATCAGGAATATTGCGATGCAATAAACATTCAAGTGCATTCAATGCGAAGTGATGAGTAATCCAACGGAATGTTTATCAAAATGAATGAATACAATTTCCGATTCTCTCGACATAATTCGCATTTTCTTTTGCCTCTTCTCTTTGTTTTTAACTCAAGTTCGAAAGAGTTCTTATGAAATCATCGCTGGTCTATACGCTGACTATCATTAATTTAAGATGATAAACACGAAAACAAAGCGAAACCGAACATAGAAAAAGGTCAAAGATTCAAAACCGAATAATCTTGAAGTATTTTCAATGAAATCTTGGCGCTTGTGTGGCTTGTTGAAGAAACAAATGCGTAAACAATCGTGCATTGTATATATTTAAACATAGAATAGTTGTTGCGAAACAAACATAAAATCGAGTCGAATGTGTTTGTGATAACAGTAGTAGGTATAAATTGCCTGCACAAATGTTTCCCCTGTCAATTCGCCATGGCACACAAACACACACACAAGCAAACCTACAGTAGCAACACATTCGCAATCAACGATGAAAATTGATTTGCGCGCTCACAATCTCGCGCTCACTCAATCGCAGCAGAAAAAGTTACGTGAGAAAACAACGTCACATAAATGCTTTTGCCACAACACACCAATACACACGATGAAACGGTTCCTTTTCTTACAGTTCTCGCGATGTGAAAAATTCACTTGGGCATAGTTGTCGAACGCATATTATGAGAATGATGAAAAAGCATTTAATATATGTTTGAGTGTGAATTCTTCAGCTTATTGTATGTTGTACAATGGCGTTGATATGCATACACAGATAGAATGAAAGAATCATGCGACGCATAGCTGTGATATGCTGCACACAGTATTGTATAAACATATCGTGTAATATGCTTTACATGAAAAAGAACCCGTAGCATATACTTCAAGGACACACGACCACATTGACGCATGCGATACTTTTTGCGATTGTTTATTGTGTATTGGTGTTTTTTTTTTCTCTTTCGAAACTGCAATCTCACATATCAAACAAGCCACAAAATAGTCAAATATGAAGTAAATGAATGTATACGGTTGACTGATAAAAGAAATGGGGAGAAATGTATCATTTTGAAACAAAAAAAGAAACGAAAACAGGAAATGAATGTATCTTTTAATGAAAAAAGATTGAATTGAAATTGATAAATGTATGAATGGAGAAAGAGGTTCCAAAACCAATTAACATGAACGAAACTGATAAAGCAAATATCTGATTTCTTCCAATTTTTTTCCAGCGATATTAAGTCACAGTCAGAAAAATGTTTATTTGAACATTCTGATTTTAACACGTATTTATTATAACTTTGAGAGACAGAGGGAAAGAGAGAAAGACTGAGAAAGACGGAAAAAGAGAAAAAGACACACTTACAATCTAAATGTTTTTTCTTGGGTGCAATCATTTCTTCTGTAGTCGCCTTGCATACTGATTTAGCAAGTCCTTGACCAGCTAAACTGTGTCGGGCCGCTAAAAGTCGATCGTTTATTGTTTGACCAGCCATTTTTTTTAAATGTATATCTTAAATGGTACACTTGAAAATTAACTTCTATTGATTTTAATCAATTATTTTCACGGGTAGATTTTGTTCTTCTTATTGTTGTTGTTGTTCGTTTTTATTTAATCAAGTGCGAATATCTGTGTGAATTTCACTGTAATTTTTGTTATTTCTCAAGTGATACCGACAAAAATAGCTTTGAATCGATTAAAAATAATGTTTTATAACAGCAAAACAGACGATGTTCTATTTGAATTTGATCTTTTTTCGGTCTTTATTGTCGATGAATATTCCAACTGTTTATTTTTGAAATGTTTTTTTTTTCTTTTTAAATTTAAGAAAAAAAAACAGGACAGAAACACAATTTCTCGCTTTTATGCGTGTGGTGTGAATAATCGATTTTTGGAACACTACTTTCAACTTTCGTGACTAACACCATAAATTTTTGTGGCGTTTTCAGCTTTTTTTTCTCTCTCTCTGCCGTTCGTTCATTCACATTACATCGAAACGATGTTGCCCTGTCGCACACGTTTTATCAGTTCAATTTACATTTAACTTATTTTCAATTGAAACGCGAATATCCGAATGATGGCCCCTTGGTTTATTATACATAAGAGAAATATTTTATTTGATGCCAAGTGACAGCGCAAGTATCTTTTTTTATATGTTACACCACAATCAATACACCATACTGATAATCACATAAGTTCTCAATATTACTTATTTCGGTGTTTAATTCGTTCACACTGTACAATAAACAAATCACATAAAATTTAAAATGATGCCAATTATTTTTCCATCAAATCATTATACAATTCAAATGCAAGACGATTGAGTGATTATTGACAATTTGCAAAACATAAAACGAATATGAATTAAACGCGAATGCGATTGAGAAACTTCTTGCGCCCGTGTACAAAATGAATTTTTTGTGTGTGTTGTTTGATGGAATCAAAAATGGTTCTCATGCAACACCACTGATTCGTAGGTTGGATTGTACTCGATTGGCATCTTTTTCACGTACTATGTGTTTGTGTATCTCCACATTACAGTCAATTTTATTGCCATTTCAGTCATACCATTTCACACTCACTGTCAGAAATCTAGCGACTATCTCTTGGGTGTATTTTTGTTTCATCAGTTTTCAAATTGTAGCCGCTATCATTCGGCAACATTTACATTTTTTCTTCTTCTTTTTTTAACATGCAAGACCTGTTTTATATTTTAGTTCCGCATTATGACTCAATCAAATGCAAATTTATTGGGTATTTAAAAGAATGGAGAAAAAAAAACAAAATCCATTTTTGGAAATTGCGTTTATTAGAGTACACGTTGACACATAATCTAGTACAACAATTTCTATCGTTAGCACAATTGATTGAAAGAAGAATTATTTACAATGTATGACATGCTCACGAAAAGCAAACATTTTTCTTTTTATTTCATTTTTAATTGGATATCTTACCAACTTTTTGAAAATGATTCAAATTTAAAATGATACAAATGACTTTAATTTGAACCTGTATTTCGCTGCTATTGACGAACGTTCGTTCGTGAGGCACTCACGAACATTTGACACTTTTCCACACTGACATTTAAATGTCATTGACACCCAAACAGTAACAGGTTATGTTTTTTATCGGTTGAAAATAGACAATAAACACAGATTATTTTTATGAATATTTTTATTTCCCAAAAATGGGAACACAATTTCGAAAAATTATCGCCAGAAAAGTGAGTAAAAAATATTTTCTAAAATTCATGTAATTCATGTATATTTTCAATTCGTTTTTAGTTATTCGAAGCCGTTGACAATGGTAAATTGAATCCGGTCGATTTTTCAAATAGAGTTATCCCCAGTCTACAATTGAAATTCGGTGGACATTCACATTTTCAAATCAGTATAAAAGCCATTCAACGTTGCCTTGGTGGTGAAGATTCGGTTAGCGCTTCTGACCTAGTATCAAAGCTCTTATCAACAAATTACAATGATTCGCCGTCGATTGCATCAGTTTCTAATCAAGAGAAAAATCTAATTTTTCATTTGAATCAAGCTGAATTTATTGGTGGAATTTTAAATTGCACCGAAAACCCCTCCGATTACAAACTGATCGATGAACAAAGAGAGGATGTAGTTGTTGAATTCAGTTCACCAAATATCGCAAAACCATTTCACATTGGCCATTTGAGATCGACGATTATTGGAAATTTTCTGTCCAATATTTTTACAGCTTACGGTCACAATGTTACACGCATCAACTATTTGGGAGATTGGGGCACTCAATTTGGCTATTTAAAACTTGGAATGGAAATGTCTGGTTTGTCGGACGAAGAAGTGGCTAAAGATCCAATAAAGCTTTTATTTCATGCATATGTTGCGGCAAATCGTAAGGCAGAATCGGATCCGGAATTTGCAGTGCAAGCTAGAAAAGTATTTTGTCAAATGGAAAATGGTGAATTACCCGATTTGGATGCATGGCAAAAATATCGCGAGTACACTGTACATGAAATGGAACAACTTTATGGACGATTGGGCGTGAAATTCGATGCATATGAATGGGAATCGGACTATCGAAAAGTAAATATTTTAAAGCAATTAGAGTCGTTGAGAAATTCAGGATTTCTACAAATCGAAAACGATGGCAAAGAAACGTTTGTATTGGACGAAGAAACACGAAGGCCGTTGCTTAAAAGTGATGGTAGCACACTTTATTTGACCAGGGACGTTGCTGCGGTTATCGATCGTCAGAAGAGATACAAATTTCATCGAATGTACTACGTCGCTGGTAATGAACAACATCACCATTTTGACAGTCTCTTTAAAATTGCTAAGAAAATTGGCGTTCGAAATGCTGACAAATTGTATCACGTAAAATTCGGAAAAGTTGAGAAAATGAGCACGAGAAAAGGGAATGTGGTATTTTTGAGCGATATTTTGGACGAAATACAAGATCGCATGCACGACAAACAAGTTAACTCTCCCAGTAAGTTTTGCTTTTTATACTTTTGAATCCTCAAATAAAACAACAATCAATTAGAATTTTCTGTGACTTGAATCATTTCAGATACGAAAATTGATTTGGATTTCGATGAGAAAAAAACCGCTGATTTTCAAGGTGTTGCTGCTTTAATTGCATACGAATTGCAACGCATGCCAACAGCAAGCTATGAATTTAATATGGACGATATTGTTAAAGTAAAATATTTTTAAATGATATTTCATCATTTCAAATTAGATTTGACATTTTTGATATGATTCCAGGACGCAACCACAAGTGCAAAGAATTTTCAAATGACGTATAGTCGACTCTGTAGCCTAGAATCCAATACAGGAATTCAAGCGGCCAGTGTATATAATCACGAATACTTACTTGAGCCAGAGGCTGTACAGCTAGCATTAGATATAGCAAGATTACCTGATGTTCTTTATGATGCAAAACGAATGTTAGGTGCACATCGTCTGCTCAATTACATGTACTCTTTGAAGTAAGCATATTCGAAAAAAAACAAGATTGTATAGGACTTTAAATAATCAAACTATTTTTTCATTTTTTTGCAGCACACGGACGAAGAAAGCACTTAATATATTGATGGTTAAAGGAGACAATAATCCAGATCGCCAGGCTCAGCGAATGTTATTGTTTAGATCAGCCAAAAATGCGTTGAAATCTTGTATGAAATTGATCAGTGTGACACCTTTAGAAAAAGTGTAAAAATAAATTTATGATAATTATGTTCCTTCATAAAAGAATTACTAGTCGAATAAAAATATGAATTCCAATTAAAACACACACATTTTTTCAAAAAAAATAAAAATAAAATGATGATTTCAAGATGTGAATTTATTTTAATTTTCAGCAAATCGGCATCACAACATTCCAATTTCTATTCATGCTGTTTTCTTCACAATGTTGAGATCATAAAAAATTCAAAAAAAAAAAAAAAAAAAAAATTTAATTAGCGCAAAATTTCACTCAAACAATTATCGTGCTCAATAAAAGTATCTCAAATTTCAAAAATCCATCTCTTGTCATTTTGTAACAAATTTGTTGGTGAATCTTTTAGCCGGCGACAAACAACATCGATTTTCAATAACGATTTTCAAAACAAAACAGTGATGTTTATTTTATTTCCGAGAATTGATTTCGGTGTCGCCACACAATGCTCTCTGTTTATGATGTTTTACAGTATATGAACGAAAACACAAATACACGCACACACCTACTAGGAACATTTCATCTCATTGCCTGTTGTGTCCGATTCAGTTACACTGTTCATTGTTATTTAAATCAGTGCGAAAAGTGTTTGTATTGGTTAGCATTTGTCTCAACTGAACATCATGAGTACATAATGCGCATTACATTCTGACGTTTGTGTTTTGACATTAAAAGTGGTTTAGATAAATTTAATATAGATTTAATTAGATAAATAATAAAATACCAATCCAAGATGCATAAGGTTTTTTCGAAAAAAGTGATAAGTCATGATAAGTGTGCACAGTGCGGCAAAATATACGCCAACAAAAAAAGCCTCGAAGAGCATATCGAACGCATGCACAAATCAGTAAAATGTACCGAATGCACTCTGCATTTCAAAAATGCAGAAACTTTCAGAAAGCACTACAACAACACACATGCAAATGGTAGGCATTTTATAAACATTAAATTTAATTAAATTCAAGTGAATCTTATAATTGATCCCTTGTTCATTTGTTACAATATTAGCGCCCGTGAAAGTAGCAGTAGTAGCAGTAGAAAATAGCAGTAGCTCCTTTGCAACACAAGTGAAGCATGTGTGTACTGATCCAACAAGTAAGAAAAATTAAACTATTTGATTGGATTGAAACTACAATTTTTTTTTTGTTATTAATTCATTTCAGTAAAAACCCATGACCCATCCGTAACCGTAAAGATCCAGTTGTGCCCAAATCCAAACGAGGACAACGACCGCAAAAAGAATGCCACTGGTTGGTTTGAAAAATGATTTTATTTGTATAAAATTTCAAACTAACATATTTATAATATTTATTTTCAGAAAATGTTCAACATGGCATTAACCACTTGCGTGAAATATTAAAATTGCGAGAAGGTTTGAAAGGTTGGCTGACTTTAACACATAAAATTTACTTCATACATTTGATTTCTTTTTTCTTCTTTTAGCAAAGGATATTTCCATCAAGGAAATAAATGAAAAGCATTTGTCGGAAGAAAAAAAGTTCTCAGAAACTTTGAAAGGTGCCATTTATTTCAATTTGAATGTTCATACATTTTTTTATGCTAATTTTTGTGTTTTATCCATTTTCATTAGTTCAAACGGTGCTTCTTGCAAAAAGCAATGAGGAAAAAGCCACTTTAGAGAAGAGGGCGAACGACTTGAGCAATCAGCTCAAAGGTTGGTTTCATTTTAAATGTGAAGTGATAAAATATGACATATCATAGTTACAAATTACTAATATTTTTTAGTGAAATCTGGTAAATTGGTGAAAGTTGAGCAAGATGCGTCATTGTTTGGTCGCCGCTTCCAAGGTACATTTTTTTTTTAAATGACTTGAGTCTTATTCGATATATTTTAATGCCATTTGATTTTTCTTGTAGAGGAAAGAGATAAACGAATACACGTTGAGAAGCAGCTCAACGAAAACACAAACTACTTTACACATCAGCTGGAAGGTAAGTTTTTTCAACCAATTATTTCCACCATATATATTTTTAAAAAAAATAAATTTTTAATACATATCACATTTTAGCAAAAGACAATTACATAAATACGCTGAAAAGCAAAATAAAACATTTGGAGCGAATCGCCTATAAAAGTATAAACATTTTATTTTATTTTCATAAATAGAACCATTTAACTCGAACATGCCTTTAAAATATTTACAGAAATGAATGCAAAACAAAACAATTTACCAGGCCGCAGATTCATCGGCCGACTCGGATAGGAATCAATTTCTCCTTTCTATTCTTATTTTAAAATGTCTTCAATTACTAAATTGTATTATAGACAAATGAAATGTATACTATACATTGTATATTGAATTAAAAAATGTTGTACCAAATACAACAAATAAAAGAACAACAGTTTGAACTAATTTTTTATGAGCAGCGAAAGTTGTAAAATGGCAAATCTGAAAAAATTGTTTGATTTTATTGCTCAATCCATTTGAAAGATCCATAACATATTTCTAAGTTTCAAAGGCAAGTAAAAATTAAATGGAAAAAACTGGTACCGAAGAATATAATATTTGGCATGACATTTTATCCAAATGAATATCGTTTAGTATCAACATATTATGGAGCATTTAACTGTCTTGTTCTGTCAAAAATCACATCAGATAATTTGGTTGCTATTGCTTGATGTATTACTCACCAGTAAAGGTATCGAAGTGTTAATAAAAGTTTTCAATTTCACCTATATGGATCGGTATAATGTGCCGAAAAAATAAATTTGTGAAAATAAGGGGGGCCCAATCGAAATAGGGGAGGCAGGAGAGTACCCCACCATGTCAAAATTTGGTCAGATCGAAAAATAATGTACTACAAAGTTGTTCAGAATGACGAGAGACATTTTCTAGGACCCCTGCCCTCCAAGTCCCCCCACCCCCCAGGGGGGTCGGGGGTCATAACTCCTTCACCCATGACTTTTTTCAACCGAAAC